AAGCCGCTAACATACCCTCAAAGCCCTGGCATGAATGCCAGTGTGTGACAACTTCAGCCCTAGTTTATCTGGTACACACGCCAAAAGTGTGTGTGGCTGTCTCTTTGTGTGTGTGTGTCAGTGTGTGTGTGTCCTCACACAGACCCAGCAGTGAGTCAGAAGACTCATGTTGAGATTTGGCAGTCATTTTATTTAGCACGTTGTCACACTTTTTTGATTAAAAAGCGACCCTTAAGACACTAGAGAGGATATACTCATGCAGATTTTGAGAAATAGGCTCTCGTGTTCTTTCGATGTGCCTCCATCATGCACAGAAATTAGGCCTGGGCAAATTTGTAAATGAGTCAGGGAAGCATGGTTGTATTATCAGTTGTAAATCTCCTCCAAATGCCAGAGGGCGCTCTTGTGTGAAACCTTCAAACATGACGAAAGGAAGGTCCCCATAGTGCTGAATTATTGACAGAAGATTTAAAGTCAGCATGAAATCTAATTTTTGTTCTTCTCTTTTTTATATTTATACAGTAGCGCTTGTTATGAATGATGTATCTGTGTATTTAATTGTTTTGTAAAAAATTTATTTGCCCTCATATTTCGTTCATTCATTTTCTTTTCAGCTTACTCCCTTAATTAATCTGGGGTCACAGATCTCAGGTTTGCCACAGTGGAATGAACCGCCAACTTATCCAGCATAGGTTTTACACAGCGGATGCCCTTTTAGCTGCAACTCATTACCAGGAAACAATACACTACAGACAGTTTAGCTTACCCAATTTACCTGTAGCGCATGTCTTTGGACTGTGGGGGAAACTGGAAGCACCCGAAGGAAACCCACACGAACAAATGGAGAACATGCAAACTCCACACAGAAATGCCAACTGACCCAGCCGAGGCTCGAACCAGCAACCTTTTTGCTCTGAGGCGCCAGCGCGACTCACTGCGCCACCATAACACCTTGTTCTTATAATTTTATATCAAATACCACAACTTTCCATCTCCCCTGAAATTTTTTTTACTTCTGGTCACATGGAATGCCATTTGGGAGGGGCTATCATGGGCCTGTATTTTTTCTGCTCTACTTTTGACGGTTCATTAATCTTTTCTTCATTCTAATAGAAACACCCATTTTTCAATGAACCAATCAGTTCCCAAATGAAAAAATTATGCACCACCCTACATTCAGGACTGTTTCTATTCAATGTACATCATGATTTGGAAAAAAATGGATTATCTTAACTTCCATTTCATGGCAACTTTAACTCCTTTCATTGATTCAACATGACTATGAATAATCCCATGATTTTGGAACTAGAGGTTTAAGTTTAGAATTTAAAAATTTATTTCAAGTTCAGGTTTGGAGTAAAAACTTGTTATTATGTCTGATAATTTCATGTGCAGTATTTAATACACAGAGCCATAGTTCATTGAAAAGTGATGCAAACGGCTGTCATTATCAAAGAACGATTATATCGACATCATGACTATTTTAATAAATAGATAAAAATTTTTGCATATAGCTTGTCACTGTACTACAATGGTTTAATAAATGCTGTTCAGTCTGAAAGCACCTACTGGAGATTTACTAGAATGGGCTTCATTGACAAAATGCACATTCCAATAGGGCTGCACACTTCACTAGTACTAGTTTGTCACTAGTCGCTAGTTTGTAAATGGTGGTATTGCATTAATGGTCTATCTATCTACAGTAGATAATATTGTATGAGGAAAAGTCACTAAAATGCTCACATGTTTATCCAACCATAGACCTTTTTTATTTTAATACTCTGTGGAGCCCTTTAAGATTGCAAAACTGTGTAGAATTTGCGCCTTTTTTGGTAGCCTATTGCATGTTTTCTAATGCTTCAGTTCGAATCTGAATCGGTTCATTTGTGTTCCTGTCAATATGATTTAGAAGCTACAACAACCGCGACAATCTCCTAAAAAAGAACAACTCACAAAGTAAATTGTGGATTACTTTGGATTGTTAACTGATAAGAATAAAAAAATAAATAAAAAGCAATGGATAAAAAAAAACAAAGTAGCAACAGCAAACATTAAAACTAATTTTCACCACTTTGTATAGCCTGATTTTGTTGGAAAAAAATGCTCTGTTTTTACAAATTTCCTTTGGTATAACTTTTTATATTTATTTTAATGTACATCACAATCACTTTTAAATAATCATATTACGAAATATGATATTTTAAGCAGAAAACTAAGCTTTAACCATTGTCATTGGATAAAAGAAGAATGTGATCTGCAAGAGAGAAGTTGGAAGTGAGAGAAAGAGAGAGATGATCTAAAAGTGAGAGCACATGTTGCTTTCATAAGTGTGACAGACCAGTGTGCTTCCCAGCTGTTCTACTGGCCTGTTTTAATCTCAGCGCTTTTTCCTCATGTGACCTAACACTGAACATACTGCCACCACAGCACAAATGCAGAGCATAAATGTGTGCGAGGTCAAAGAGAACATAATATGGACTGCCCAAAATTTAGCAATCTTTTCAAACCATATAAATGTGGAGGACAAAAGCAGCAATTTTAAGAGAAATATGCTGGTTGTTTTGTTACAAGAAAGTGAAATGACTGCCAAAAAGGTTGCAAAGCACCAATGCATATACAAACAAATAAATTAATTAATTAATAAATAAAATGTTCTATATTTCACTTCCTCTGGACCCAAGTGATAGCTTTGTGAAAGTTCATGAAAGATGTAGTGATGTCTGATTTGCGAAAAGTTTGTTTTGTTAAGTCGGGTGTTTTAAATGACTCTATCAAATGTCTGAAGAAGATATGAAATCCTGCAGAAGTATTGTTTTTTGTTCAGTTTAAAAGCTGAAGTTCTGTTGAGGACTAATTGACTGGAAAACAGCAACCAGCAGGCTTCAAATGTCTCATTTTGTGTTTCACAGAGGAATGCAAGTAGCGCTGGTTTAGAACGACATGAGGTTGAATACATGATTGAATGATTTTTAGAAACTATTCCATTTAACAAAACAACAGCCTGTCAACATTTATACACCCTCACATCAGTCTAAACCTGAATTTCCATTGCATGGACAAAAGCACAGGGACATTTCTTGAGATAGTTCATGCAAAATTACATATTTGTCATCATTTACTTCAGGTAACTTCAGGTTGTACTAAACTGACTTTTTTTTTTTTTTTTCGGTAAACACAGAGGAAGATATTTTGAAGAATGTTAGTAACCAAACAGATATCACGACTTGCTGCCATAAAGTAAACAGGTGGCAAGATTTGTTTGGCTACTGACATTTTAACAAAGATCTTCAGTAGAACAACAAATACAAATATGAGTGGAACAACCTGAGTGTGAGTAAATAACAGCCGAATTTTCCTTTTTGAGTGAATTATCCCTTTAAAGGAGCTACATGTATAACTCAAACTTTGTTATTAGTGTTAGAGGTGTGCGTTTAGTAAACTAAAACCTGAAACCTTTTCATTTGTGCACAAATACTTTTATACTTTTCTGTTAAGTAATACATAAGTGACTAAATGTAATTTAGTGTCGCAATACACTTACAGCAAAGATATTTTCCCTCTTTGCTTAGATGTAAAATGTATTTCTGCAACCAATATGCAAATAAAAAAACATAGATGCTAGCCATGCTGCTTAGAGCAACATTTTTAGGCATATGTAAATATGCTGGCTTTCTTTCAAACAAAATGAATAGTGATATGGATATGATTGCACGAGCAAATTAAATCTTTAATTTACTGGCACTCTCAACCTTCACCTATGATATAATTGTCATGATCACCAGCAATAAAGATCGATGGAGAACACTGACTGTCACACGAACTACACATCTGCCACCGAACTGGATTACATATCCCGTTATGCACCTTATACACATCCATTTCAGATAACCACTGATTGCAAACACACAGCTGAAGTTCGTAAGGACTGATTACCGCGACTATAAATGCACATCACTTTCACACACACATTGCTGAGTCTAGATGCGCATTACGTCCCATGAGCATTGTGAAGCATTTTCCTTGTCTTGCCTTCCATGCTTTTGACCCCATGTTTTGTTGTTTTGCTGCCTGTCCCGACCTTCACCTGTTATTCTGACTACGCTTTTGGGTTATCCATATGGTCCAGTTTGCACCTTTTTTAACTATTGCCTGCCTGACGATACTCTTAAATACACTGCACGTGGATCCTTATCTGTTGTTCCTGACCCTATGTTACAATATTATATGAAATACCAGTATTTCTTAAAGAGGTGTCCAGCTTTATTTAAATATTTTTGTTCATACTGTAAAAGCCTGGATTTTTAAAACACATACAGATGGACAGACAGACAGACAGACAGACAGAGAGACAATCATGCACATAAACAGTTCTGCTAAGTCTCATTCTCGTCACCTTTACAACTAACACTGTTTTTGTTCACTGTCGATTTGTTCTTCATTCCATTTTTAAATGTACTTTTACTTCAGAAGACAAAACAATTACATTTTCCTTAAAAAAAAGTATAATTTGTCCCATAGAAAACCCATAGAAAACTGAAGGGAAATACTAAAATTAAAAAAAAATAAATAAACAAAAATTAAATTTATATATATATATATATATATATATATATATATATATATATATATATATATATATATATATATATATATATATATATATATATATATATATATATATATACACACACACACACACACACATATATATATACATACATATATATATATATATATATATATATATATATATATATATATATATATATATATATATACATACATAAAAAAGATTTAGATTCACACCTAGGTGAGACCTTCGTGCTCAAAGGTCTACGAGAGAAAGATTAAGGGCTGCAGTATAAGGTATGCTTGAGGTTTAAATGTATGCTTTCTATGAAGTATACTTGGACAGAAAAACTCACAGGTCAAGCAAAAATGGCTTCAATTAAATGTGCAGTTAATTTTACTGCACTCAGACTATTGACAGGCCATCTTACCTTCTGTGGTCTTGGGAGGTGGGACTGTGCTCTCGATCTGTTTCTTTGTATCGTTCTCGCTCTCTCTCCCGCTCTCGCTCTTTCTTGTGTCCTCTTTCTCTGGTTTTCTCTCTCATTCTTTCTTTGTTATGACGGCTGTAGTTTTCCCATGACTTGCTGCTGTCTATCACACTCGGCCAGGAAGCCACTCTCATTGCAGGAGAGTATACACCTGGACAAGCAAAAAAAAAAAAACAAACAAAAAAAAAAACAATGGTTAATGCAGCAGAAACACATAGCATTTTGTGTTAGTGTTGGTATGACTAAATTTAACAAGACAAAATAAGAAGAAATAATACAATTATAATAAGAAAGCATAGAATGTGACTGTATTAACTGATAAACTTAATAATATAATGTAATGCAATATAATATAAGGTAATATAATAAGATAAATTTGTTTTAAATTACCAACATTGTATAAAAATTTAAAGAGCCCCCATTTTGGGTTTTGTAAAATGACCCTTTATGCAGTGTATTACACAGCTCTAAGGCCGCATTTACACAAGTGACTCAAATCCGATTTTTTTCCCCCCGTGTGGCACAGATCGGATATTGCCAATGTACGCGTAAGCAGGAACAAATCACATGGATTCCGATTTGCTTAAATCAGATTCAGGCCTTGTTTATTTGTGGAAATTTATTCGATATGAATCGGATCTGTGCCGTCGTGTCCGCAGTGTAAGCAGGTAGATCGGATGTTCACCTGTCCATGCGAGTCGCGCGTCATTAAAAATCATAGCGAATGTTGTTGGAGACCCCTAAAACCAAAATGTGACCTTTTATAATGCAAATTATGGGCTTTTTAAGATAAATCTGGAAGAACAATAATCCCAGTAGCTATTATTTTATATAAAGCTTAATATCATATTATATTGTATCGTATCATATCGTATCATTTTATATTGTATTGTATCGTATCATATATCATATCATATAATATTTTATTATATTATATTATAAAAACAGTGACAATAAGCATCAATGCTATATCGCAATAAATACATAAATGATACCTTAATATATGATACATTACACCTTAATAAAAATTAGCAATACAAACATAAAACTGTTTATAAAACAACATTAACAACTGCAGATGCAAAACTATATAAAAATATTAATAATTAACTAAAAGTGCAAAAATGTGTAAATTAATATAATACAATCTAATATAAATTTGTCTGAAATAAATTACATCAGTGACCTTAAACATCAAAATCTGTTTCACAATTAATAAATCAAGTCAAAATAAAATACGAAGTTTACCTGTGTCCTAACACATTTTTGCTAATGGTATTTTAACAGCACATTTCAGATACTGATGCTTGCTGTAACAATACCAGTCACTGCTTTCTCTGCGTCTGTCTTTCACACAAAAACACGCATGCAACAATCGCTGAAAGCTCTGTGACAGTAACCACTTTGGCCTCTTGAGTACACCCAAATCATTACAACATGCAAAGGTTAACAAGGCCACAGCAGATTTTCTGACATGCTCATTTTTCAGCGAGTGTGTGTGTGTGTCCTTGTTAACCTCTGCTTGCAATAATGATGTGTGCTGGACTGCAGTGGAAATGCTTGCAGTGCACTTCTATGCTCAGTGGCTGGAAACGTATCCCCTACACAGTTGTATAGAACGTGTGTGTGTAGTGACGATGAGAGGGTGTGGAGTATGGTAACGCTTTGCATGCAGTTTCTACTCTCTGGTCAATCCAGGTGCCCTGTACATATGGGTCCTTTCGTTCAAAGCTCAGAGACGTGTGGTCATCTGAAGCCCAAAGTATATTTCAGTTTTACGTGTATGGAAAGAGTATAGAAGGCTTTCAGGGCCAAAAGTTTTGAGACTGTATTTGCATATATAAATGCAATGGAACATTGTGATGAATGTGTAAGAAGTTCAGGTGTCATGTTCATTTGTCAATGATATGTTAATTGTATTGTGTGCATATACAAATATTAGGTATACTTTGAATGGCTGTGTATAGGGGGTCGCACACTGGATGCACCATGTCGTGTCAAGCAGCACCATGCATTTTAGAATTCTAAACAGATATCTATCAGGGTATGCACATCAGCGCCACAAGTGGGAGACTGCGCCACCCAGCTACTACTCAGGACAGGATTTCGGTTGGCGAAGCGTACAACATTTTTTTAGACTGCAGTGAACAGTTTGCGCGGTGCCGCATATTATTTGAATTGAATATGAAACACTGAAGAGATTTTGTCTGAAACAGGTACGACTATACAGACATCTTTACGATCCGTCCATGCGTAATCATATGGAGAACTAGGCGACCCATAATTCTTGGCTAGAAATTGCCATTGCAGTGAGAAAGGATGAAAGTTTTTGTTAAAACGTTTAGAAAAGGGATAAGTTTGATAAAACCAAAAACAGAGGCCATGGCAAAAGTGGAGACCTGGGTGGTTTTAATACACAATTACAGAAATAGGTTTTTCCACCATTCATAAATTTACTGATGTATATATGTGGGAAAAGTCTGCATTTATTTATATTTGAACAAAAACTTAAAGCCATAATTTGACAGGTGTATGAATAGTTTCAGGCTTGACTGTACATAAATAAATATATTTTACTTTTGACTGATGTTCCAGAGTGTTTGAGCAGTTAAGACAGTCCAATATGTGCAGGTGCCAAATTAAATATTTTCCAACTATTCATTACAAGGTATTTGGAAACATTCCTTAAACACAGACTTAAAACATATACACAAAAACATTAAGAGGTTTCCTTTCCCACACACACACACACACACACGCACGCACGCACGCACACTTTAGGAGCCAACGAAAGCTGAAAATGCTCCTTTTTGAGAGTATATTTCATTTCCCATAATTTCATAAGCTGTACTGTCAGGATCTAACCTTTGAATCATATGACTACATAAAAATTATGATTATTTGGTTATAACTGGCACAGAATCAAAGGCGATGAGCCTCTTTAGAACAATCATTCAACAAAATGTACTTATTACAAAAATGTACTCATGATTACAGGTTAAGTGCATATCTTTCATAGGATTTTACTAGTCATACCTGTAGGGAAGGGGAAAGGAGGAGCTGAACGCCGATCATAACCGCCCGCCAAACGTCCACTGCTGTAATGAGAAAGACTGTGTCAACAGTTTAGTTCATTTAGCATTATTCTTATTTAAGTTTTTTGTTTAAAAGAACAGTAAACTGAAAATGTTTTTTTTTCTTCTGTCGTCATTTACTTAATTTGTTCCAAACCTAGGATCTTTCTTCTGTTAAACACAAACATAGATATTTAATGTCTATGGACATCAATGGCTACCATACCAGTTTCCAACATTCTTTAAAACACAACCACTTTATTAGATACACCTGTCCAACTGCTTATTAATGCAAATTTCTAATTAGCCAATCACATGGCAGAAACTCAATGCATATACAGTAGGCATGTAGACATGGTCAAGATGATCTGCTGTAGTTTAAACCGAGCATCAGAATGGTAAAGAAAGGCGACTTTGATGGTGGCATGGTTGTTGGTGTCAGACGAGCTCATCTGAGTATTTCCAAAACTGCTGATCTACTGGGGTTTGGTAAAGGATTACAGAGAATGGTCCGAAAAAAAAGAAAAGTCATCCAGTGAGCGGCTGTTCTGTAGGCGCAAATGTCTTGTTGATGACAGAGGTCAGAGGAGCACTGCCAGACTGATTCGAGCTGATAGAAAGGCAACAGTAACTTAAGTTACCACTTGTTAAAACCAAGGCATACAGAAAACATCTCTGATGGCTACTTCTAGCAGGATAACGCACCATGTTATAAAGCGTGAATCATCTCAGACTGGTTTCTTGAACATAACAATGAGTTCACTGTAATCAAATGGCCTCCACAGTCATCAGAACTTAATCCAATAGAGAAACTTTGTGATGTTATCATGTCAATATGGACCAAAATCTCTGAGGACTATTTCCAGTACCTTGCTGAATCAATGCCACGAAGGATTAAGGCAGTTCTAAAGGCAAATAGGGGTCCTAGTAGTAGTAAGGTGTACCTAATAAAGTTGCCGGTAAGTTTATATTGCATTGTGTTTAACAGTAGAAAGAAAGGCTTGGAACCATTGGAGAGAACATTTTATTGCATTGAGCAGGATAATTATACATATATATACATATATATATACATATATATATATATATATATATATATATATATATATATATATATATATATATATATATTTATTTATTTATTTTATTTATTTTTATTTTTTTAAAGGCAAGACAAGTTTATATAGCACGTTTCATAAACAGTGGCAATTCAAAGTGCTTTACATAAACAGGAATGAAAGAGACAAGTATAAATAAAATAGAAACAAATAATTTAAAAACAGATGAAAACAGCGTAAAGACAGTTTTTTCACATTCCAAAACAACGGTGTATCATATTTTCTCATTATACTCTGCGGGACCTCCCCATTCTGGTAATCAACCCCCTTCGAAAAGTTAAGCTTTACAGCTCTAATTACGTGCCCCCCAATTTCAACTTCTCGCACTGACCCTGATTTCTACCCCCGTCCTGGGAGTAGATCACTTTAGCTAACCAAACGTAATAAAAGGTCTTGATCTTAGGCAGACGGCAGGAATTTTAACATCCGCAACAAATTATCTGTGACGAGTCACGTCTCGTATCTCGCTTATTGTAATTACGCTGCTGTAAAACAGAGACAGATCTACCAGTATGGCTATGACCCAAGTTAAATCTTTTAACTGCCAAATCAGATACAGTTTTTTCATATTTTAAAACACAGGTGTATCATATTTTCTTATTTTACTCTAAGACTTCCCCATTCTAGTGATCCAACACTCCTCTGTGGACTTTTTCGGTACCTATTAATCTATTGGATGTCTCCAAGGATTTGATTTTTCAGCTAGAATCGAAAAGTTTGGGTAAAAAGTTTGGGTTAAAGTTTGGGTGAAAAAGAAAGAAGTTCATATGTTAATAAAAGAACATAGTTGAGTTATAAACAATGACTTCATTTTAATTTCTGTGTAAAAATAAAAAAATTAAAAAATACTATGATTTTTTTAGTCTTTCTCTTTCACAAAAAAATTGCAAGATGATGGACTTTGCCCAAACATTGCTAAAAAAAGAAATTAAGTTAAGACGGAAGAATAATTTCACAGCACTCAGAGCAACAAACCCCATTACCTTTACCAAACAACAAAGAGAAAGGAATAAATAAAGCATACCAACACAACAGACCAAACTTTTCTCAATGATCAAAAGAATTTCCTCCGTTTCAGAGCTCAATTTCCTCGCTGTTTGATGTTACTGGCATTAACTCAAAGTGCAGCATGCGCCCAGTAACGTGCCAATAGTGTATAACTGTGTGCGAGTATCAGCAGATACAGCTCAGGCAAACAAGCCATTCCCGATCCATAAACCCTGGCTGCCCGCCCTGCATTCAGGGCATCGAGTATATGTGTGTAAGAGAAATCGCATCCAAGAGGACTCCTTGTGGTCAGGTGCTGGTTAAGAGTGCTTAGGTTCTATTAATAACTCTGGAAAAGATGCTGCTGTTCTGGTTTCCCTTTGTATCTCCCCCTTCATCCATCCCACTTCCTCTCTGCTCTCACTTACAAATCCTTTTTAAACTCAGCCAGCTATAGTACATGTCCAGTATGTCTAATTTATTTCTTCTTGCTTTCTACGCATAGGAACAGACGAAATGGGGGCTGGGAAGGGGAATTCATGATAATCAATGTTAGATGATCTGGCAGTTACAGTCTCATCTCACCCCAGAGGTAAGCTTTAATTAGCGCCTGGCTCATTAAGACAGCTAATCACTGCAGAATTTGACCCTAATGACCTCAAACTAATGGCAGCGGAAAGACACAGGCCGTCCAACTGGCTGCTCCACATAGCTTTGGTAAGTTAATGTATCAACAAAACAATTATTATTGATATTCGGCAACATGCGATGAGGGATTGCTGACGAGTAATAAAACTATATTGGATTTGTATGCCAAGTCTCAAGACATCTAATCAAATTCAACACAGAAAGCAATCTGCCTGTAATATAAAATGGTTGTCTAAAAATGTTGTGGAAAACAAACAAGGGAGTTCTTTTTGATGACTAGAGAGCCAGGGCAAGATACATTTATAGTGGAAGGAAAGGTGCTGTGCTTTTGAAACGATCGCCCAGAGAGCATTACGGGCTATTTTAGGGGTGTCCCTCAGGGCTTTGTATAAGGACCCTTTATATTTGCTATATATACTCCCAGCGTGTGATGTTTATGTGTGAAAAATGAGTAAGCATGTGATGGGGAGGAGAGAAAAAGAGGGAGAACAAGGAGAAAAGTGAGCTTTTTTGGAGTGTTGGTACGAAAGGAAGTGATTCATGAATTACACAGTCGTTGGTTGGCAGGGTTCAGATGAACGGAAACTCCTTTAAGGATGTTTGGACTTGGCAGAGAGACAGAGACTTGAGAAGAACCATTCTTTAAACAACAGAAAAAAGAAGAAAGGGTGGAAAAAAGCTAACTGGAGGATCAGGAAATGAAAAAAATGGGAGGGAGTTAGGTCAGAAAAGGGTGAAAAGGGATACAATTAATACAGACAAGTAGAAATAAACTGAACAAAAACAAAACTGAAAACAGCATATTGCATAACACAAAACAAAAACTTTGCATCAGTTCTTTTAACTATGCAGCTTAACTAAAATATGTATTTGCCGATGCAGTGTTTTTGTCATTATGGTGGCTTGAGAAAGCCAACATACTGTTATACTACATAAACTTCTTCTGAGAATAATTTCTATATGCTTCTCCTCCTAGACCGTTCATACTACAACCATCAAACTAACACCAAACCTTCAAACTGGTCTGACTTGCTATATCTTTTCTAACTGATCCGACTTGCAATTTCCGAAAACTGACCTGGAAAATTCCGAAAAGTCTCAATGGCCTAACATTGGACCAAACTTTGTGAGCTCAGAACTTTGAACAGCGGAATGAACCGCCAACTTATCCAGCAAGTTTTTACGCAGTGGATGCCCTTTCAGCCGCAACCCATCTCTGGGAAACATCCACACACACACACTCATACACTATGGACAATTTAGCCTACCCAATTCACCTGTACCACATGTCTTTGGACTGTGGGGGAAACCAGAGCACCTGGAGGAAACCCATGCGAAGACAGGGAGAACATGCAAACTCCATACAGAAACGCCAACTGAGCCGAGGTTCGAACCAGTGACCCAGCACCCTTCTTGCTGTGAGGCGACAGCACTACATACTGCGCCACTGCCTCACCACCAGCAGTCATCTTATTATAATGATTTCTGCAGAATCATTAACACTAGAGACTGGAGTAATAATGCTGGAAAATCACTCTATTTTAAAACATGTTATAAAGCCAACATTTGAAGTGGCTCAAAACCTTTCATCAAACTTGTCCTAAAGCCAAAATGCAATAAAAAGAGAAAACTTTTAAAAGCCTTTTTTATTTAAAATTCTAAAACTTTATAATAGTAATCCTATTCTGAAAAAAAAACTGTGATTCACCAGATATTTTAACAAAACTGGCAGTGAACCACACAAATGTTCTGCAGATGATGATGCTGCCTCTCAAACTGAGTGGGAGTGAATCTAGAAATAACGTAATTTGGGGGAACATAGACAGGCCAAACTTGGCTGTTTGTCTTGGGGAGAAAGGGAGGAAGAGTATAAGGCTTAGATGGATGGGGAGTTTTGGATGCCTGTAAACATGAGGCCAAAGGCACAAACATGGCCACCCTGCCTCTGTCTCTCTCTGCCTTATTTGGCGTTTGACTGGGTTTTACCCGTATTTTAGTCCTATGAAGATAAATTCTGGCGTCAGAAGGCTGGGATGCAAATAAGCGCATGCACAAAGAGACAGATACACACACACACACTTAAGCACCTTAAACACATTTGATAGCTTCAGAGCCCAGGCTGAAAGAGCGGAATCAAACTGAATAAGGAATTCTGTGTGTATGGAAGAAAGACAGTCACAGTGGATTAGCTGAAGCAGAAGGGAGTTTAGTGCTTTTGTCTTGATTTCTCTTCTTCTAAGTCTGGGGTGAAACTTTGATGAGCTGCCCTACATACTGCAGGCAGGAACAGAGACAGAAGTAACGACTCTGACAGAGGCAAAAGGGAAAAAAAGAGGGCTTTTGTAGCTGCAGCCTAGTTTTACTGTCCCATAAACTCTATGACGGCTGCCAATCACAGGTTTAGGAAGAGTCAATCATCTCTGTCATGAGGGACATTCAATGCTCGAGTCTCATAATAAACTTTTTTAACTTTATTGTTTCGGTCTCGTGGGTCTCTTTAGTCATCAGATTTATGTTTTTTTTTCTTTTTGTTGTGACAATTACAGTTTGCCTGAAAAATATTGTATCCACAGTTAGCAGCATTTATTTTGCTGACTAAGATCAACAACAAAAATAAAACTGAAAAGTCAACATGAGTTATTTTGGGATTTTTCTTTAAGACAAATCACTAAATTAGCATATAAATATATAAATGGACTCCCTATCATTTATCCTAATATTAACTGGCAAAAAAAATACTTGGTTAATGAAAAAAAGATATGTTCAGCAGTAATTCAACATTGCCAATTCTTTTTTTCACAAGCTCTACCTCTTAATCTCACTCTTTCTCTCTCTGTCTTTCCTTTTCTCCCTCTTTTGCCTGTGCTGTGACCTGCAACGCTCTTCCTTTCTCTGTCTGCTACCTCTCCTCTGTTTGTATCTCCAGTATTTATATGACATCAACCTAAACACATATACATAATCCATAAATCATACACAAACCTTGATATTATGCTTACCATCAATCAGAAAACAAGGGAGAGACAGCAAAATAAACACTTACCTATCTAATGTTGGTATCATAGGTGGAAGGGCCCCTGGAGGTAATGGGAAACCTAAGACAGTAGATATAAACAGATATTAGGTAATTAATGGTATGGTGAAATACAAACTCTAAACACAAAACAAAGAATAAACATTGTAATATAAATATAAGGCTACTGACATTTTTAAATATGGAAAACTATAATAGATTTTGTGAAAAACCATGCTTGCTTTTTGCACATTTGGCAGTAGTTTAAAAGTATGATTAGAGTTAGGCCGCGTTTACACTAATACGTTTTAGTTTTGAAGTGCATACGTTTTGCTATGGTTACGCCTTCCGTCCACACTACCCCTGAGTTTTTGAGTCCTGAAAACAGAGCGTTTTGGAAACCCCTTAGAGGCCGTTTTGATTTTAAAACGCTACTGCTCCGTGTCTTTGTGGATGGTGAAAACAGAGACATCTGAAAATAGAGTGGCTGCAGACATTCGCCTGTCTGTTTGGGGATTTTTCTCAATATTAAGTCTTGCATCCTTTCCTTGAAAGTTCAGACTTCACAAGTTTGATATGGAAAACAGACACCTCATGTAGCTACTTATTTATATGACTGTCATTTTCACTGTATGCATATTTATAACAAAATGGAGCCTATAACATAACTGCCTACTTTCACTTTCATTGAAAAATATGAAATACACCCTATCTCTTTTACTGGACATCAGCTTCAATAATCAATAATGGCCATTATAATAGTATAACTTGCAATAAGTTTATGAAATATGGGAAATAAAGGCAAGCAATCAATCAAATGTCTAGAATCAATGAACGTTGTTACATAAATTGATATATTAACTTATCTTTGCGCTCATCTAAATCACGCTACCTGAGAACAAGTAATAGATTCAAAAGACCAAAAGTCGATAAATTATAATAAATTAAATATCACGTTTAACAAGTATAGTGAGGAGATACCGCAGTAGACCCTTGATGAATTATCCGACGTGCACTGCTCTCATCTGCGGAGGTGTGCTCAAAGGACCCACTGACTGCCTGGAGCTCAGACGTACGCTCACGCTGCAGCACATGCCATAGTGTGTGTGTGGTCACGTGATGTGCGTTTTTCAGGGGTATAGTGTGGACAGAGATCTTTTCAGAAATGCGAGATGAAATGCTAGTTTAGATGTGAATCGTTTTCATTCTAAATCGGCGTTTTAAAACTAAAACGTATTATTGCAAACAGGGCCTTAGTTAATAAAAGACGTTTAGAAAACAATAGTGCTAAAGGGTTTAAGCTTTATTGCACACATCGTAAGTGTTAATGACAAAACAATTCCAATAAAAAAAAAGAGTTTGCTCAAGCAACCATGTCATTTCCCTTGTTTACCTTGAATAAATATAAAGCAAATTTTAAAACATATCACTTCCATAGCCACCAGGCTGTGGTCTTAAGCATTACTATAGCATCTGATTTGTAAGCCAAAGGTGCTGCTTTAAATTTTGCTAAAAGAACCAGAGGGTTTACATCAGTAACAGGGCTCGAAATTGCGAACATTTTGGTCGCATATGCGCCTGAAATTGAATCTATTCGACCTCATAATATAAGCATTTGTGGGACTGCATATAATGGTTGTAGTGCGACCTGTTTTGATTTTTTTTCTAAAAACATGCTAAATCGGTCTTCCTTGCTGCTATATTGGTTCATCTTAGCTGTTCCACTCAAGACTTTCCGCTGTCAGTTTACAGGGAGCTTTTGTGACCACGGTAATGCAAATGGCTGAAGAGTGAAAAGTGCACCGAATCTCGTTGCATTCACTGCGTGCTCAGCGCAAATCTCCGCTAAATGTATAATCTAACACTGTACACACCATCCCCAAAGAAGCTTGCCTTTACTAAGTTTAAACTGATGAGGCTCATAACAAAGAACAGTATTGCACCAGTGGTCATCAGGAGAATCCTGCTCTGCCTGCTCATATATTGGGCCAGCTGACTCGCCTGCTTTCCACATACACAGAAAAATGAAAATCAGCGCATAACGAGACTGAGTATTAAAATGACACATACCGAAATCAAAACTTTTAAAAGTGAGACTTTTCTTCCTTTCTTTTGTCCGTTCTTTCTTGACATTAATATTATTTTTCTATTTAATTACTGATGACTGCTTTGTAGCTTTCAGCCTTGAATTGAATCATTTATTATAATCTTCCGTTTGTTTTGTAGCAGAAGAAGTATTTATTAAATTGACATGCATATAAAAACAGTACAAAATAAATATTTCTTACTGCAATACTTCATTTGTGTTTGATGCCACACATTTATTTTTAATAAAGTAACAGTAGGACTTTTTATAGCAGATAACTCGCACTCAAGCACATTCAAGGCAGCATGATAATGAGAAAAGTTATTCATTGTTAGTATTATTGTCATCGCCATCATCATTAATATTTAATAATTATTGGACATTCATTTTGGAAATATTGCACAATTATTAAGTCATCACAGCATTAGTTAGATATTTGTTTCTGGTTTAATCCTAATTTATGTTGTTTTCAAATACAATAAATCTCTTAATATACAATTTGCAGCTGTACTCATTCATTTTTTTGGTGCTCCTACATTCTTTCTGATGCTCCTAATTTTTTTTCTGGTGATCCTAAATATTTAAAGTTGGGAGCACTGTTGCTACCAAGTAAAAATGTTCATTTCGAGCCCTGAGTAATCGGACTTGGATTTATATGCATTAATATAACTTCTTCAGGCTCAAAAAGTGCATAGACACAATCTTGCACATCTTTACTCCCATGTCCCCACATAGCTGAGCAAGTAGAGCAGTTTTCTGGTGCCGTGACCCGGAAGAGTGAATGAGAGTGATCTTTAGGAAGGGGAGTGTAATGGAGGAACATCCCCTGACCTCATGAGGCACACAAGAGAATGACGGTTCCAGTCTGGTTCAAATCCCACTCAGAGTACAACAAATGCAGGTAGAAGGCTTACATTGGTGCTGTATATTAAGGGGTGTACTTCCATGGTCTGAAGTGGTACACTAGCAGCCCACAGAAGAGACTGTGATGTTGTGACACCTGCATCCCATGCCAGAAATGCTGGTTTGAATCAGGCTCATAGTGAGGTAAGTAGAACCAGAGGAGTAACATACTGGTATGTTTTTGGAGTTTTGTAAAAATGTTGGTATAGGGGCACATTTTTCTTTTGAGCCTCAGTAGATTTCCATCTATGCGAGTGTATGTCCAGATGTCTCGACTTAAATGACTCAACATTGTTTATGACACATTCAGACAGAATTCAACAAACGCAGCGGCCTGCAACTTTTACTGCCCCTGCTAACCGTGACGCCCCGCCCTCCTTTCAATGTGTGCGTCAAACAAATGGGCCTTCGCAGTACCCCCAAAAAACATTCTCCCTCACATGGCTGCAACACACTTATCTGCTTTGATCACACTCAGCCACAGACTCACAAACATTCGTGGACATCTGGGCACCATCCCCCTTTTGTTTTTCTGCAGACCCCTGATGGGAGCCAGCTCTAAAAGACAGTTTTCAACAACAACAAAAATGACATTTGAGGAACACAGAAATCACGTAGCTCTAGTTAACACAGAGCGAGGCAGAAACACAGCGTCTCCTTCAACACATGCATTTACTCACAAAGAGCCTTGCAAATGATCTGTGTTGTCCTTGACACTTCAGAGTCCAATAGGAAAATATGTACTTTGTGAACTATGCCCAAACCTACTGCTACGTTTTACTCAGTCTGACTATGGATACTAGGGTTATTATACTAGGGTAGGGCTCAAACCATTTGTAAGGTCATAGACCTTAGTAGATAATAGATCTAGCGGAAATTAAACAACATAGGCTTATTCTGAAATTGTAGCCCTATACATTTCTGGAGATCGCAAATTATGTAGCCAGAAATACGTATGACTGCATTTCGTCTTTAAGACGAAAGCTACAGGGCAGTATGATGCTGTTCCTTTCCGCGCTAGCAGCCGATCACTTACAGTACCTCCGTATGGACAGCTTTCCCGCTGTTACCAGTTTGTCCAGTTAGCTCGCCATGTACGTCGGCTAACTTGAGACGCAGAGAGGAGTTGACTGTGACAATGGGGTTTGAGTCAAGTGAAGACGAAAACAAAACCCAAAAAACAAAATAATCAAGTAAATGACAGTGAGAATGTTGTAAAATCTGAGAATGTGGTAAAATCAGGGGGCTTTTCTTTTTCTGGATTTTTTTTTCTAAAACACTGCAGTTGGATTTAGGGAAAGGGTGGGTTGGTCAATCTGTGCTTTTTAAAATATTATCGACTGGATTTAGGGAAGTGGGTAGGAGTAATCGTTCAGTTTGTCAGTCAGTCAAACAGTCAGTCGACAGCGGCCTCTGGTGGATTTAAGCTAGAAGAGCAGGCACAAATTTCACTTGCGAGAGAAATTTTAGATCTCAAATACGTACACAGTGGCCTCTGGTATATTTGCGAAAACAAAAACAGCAAAAAACATAGTTCCTGGGGCATATTTTGCGATCTTCAGAAATTTCTATAGGGCTACGTGTTCAGAATGAGCCTAGTTTGAAATTGAAACACTTGCTCCAAGTTAAATAGAGAGTATATATTTATAGATACTTATGTACATTTCCAATTAAAAGTTGCTGTTTACAAATTTAAAAATAAATACTTTTATTCCGCAAGATAACTGCATTTAACTGGTCAACAGAGACATTAAAATGGTTGCCCTTAACTTTATATTCATCATAATAATTTTTAAAAAATACAATTTTGCAATTTTCACTCTGCATATATTAGAATAAATTCTAAAGGATCACGCAACACTGAGAACTGGAGTAATGGCTACTGAAAAATCAGCTCTGTCATCTCAGAAATAAATTATATTTTAAAATATTAAAATAAAACATTGCCTTAACTATGATGCACTCACATTTAATTAAATAATTTAGTACAATGCATTTGTTGTGTACAATCATCAGTCCAAAAAAAAAAAAAAAAAACAGGACTGGAATGTATTAAATATATATCAATTTAAATAAAATCAAATATATTTGTTTGCATAATAATAATAATAATAATAATAATAATAATAATAATAATAATAATATTTAAACGATTGCATGATCAATAATGTCAATGTATAAAATGTATAAACTGTCAATGTAGCGTTTCTACAGCATGGGTGAAAAGTAAATAAGTAATATTTAATGGCTGTAAAACTTGTAGTATCAATCAATCCATGAAGATGACAACACTAAAAAAAACTCTAGGGGTGTCCAAACTCGGTGCTGGAGGGCCGGTGTCCTGCATAGTTTAGCTCCAACTTCCTTCAGCACACCTCGCTGGAAGTTTCTAGCATACCTGAAAAGAGCTTGATTAGCAGGTTCAGGTGTGTTTAATTTGGGTTGGAACTAAAATATGCAAGATGCCGGCCCTCCAGGACTGAGTTTGGACACCCCTGCCCCTGACCCTGAGGGTCATTTTCGCAGGTTGCTGCGGTGCAAACTTCAAGTTTGGTGAACTCTGACCTGCGAAATCGCATCACTTGACCAACCGAGGATCAAAACATGACCTCTCTGGACAGAATTTTAAAACATGGAGCAATCGCTCGCTTATTTAATGCCTACTAATCTTGTTTATTCCCGCCCCTTTTCACAGCACCGCACGACGTTAACTTTATTACCATTTTATATTGATTTGTTATATAAATTCACTAAAATGAATTTATAAACGAATAAATGTAACAAAATGTTTGTGTGATGGAGTTGAAAAGTTTTCTTGACTTTCATCGTTCTAGATTTTCATTCACTGAAGTTAAATATTATTTTAGTTTTGGGCAACTGGGACATTTTTTTGAAAAGATGTAGTATGTGATAAAAGCACTTAAAAGGTACTTAATGAACATTTAAAGCCATTAATGTCTTCTAAAAGAATCAAAGCGGATCACTGGACTCTCTTCGTACAAAAATATTTGGATTATCAGTACAAAAATGTAAAGTACAAATCATCTCCTAACAAATCCATTATTAAAATTACACTCTGGAAAAAAAAGTCCCTCAGCCCTCCATTTAATCAAAACATTCCTCTCCTAACAACTGGCTCTCTCCCTCTTTTTCCCCTCTGTCTCTTTCAGCACAGCTGGGTCATTCAGCACATTTCCAGTGCCACGATTCTGCTGGCATGGCACTTTTTCTTTCTTCCCGCTCTGAGCTATTTTTAGTCTCACGCAGCACATTAGCAACACAAAAGGAACAGCGTGGCTGGAACGGGACAGCGATATCCGCAGGGGGAGCGAATCAGAAAGTGAGGCCTGTAACATCAGGATGGGGAGGTGGGCTTCAACCATTAAATAAAAACGGCTCATAAAAGGCTGAACTTCAAAGGCAAGGCCTGACCAGGAAGTCTGATATTTTGACTGTATTAAAAAGGATCAGTGGATCCAAAAAAGAGGATGATGGGTGAGTGTATCAGTGAGGGGTCTGATGAGGGCTGGCAGGATTTGGCAGGAGGCGATTACTGATGGGGCTTTGAAGCAGAAGAGGAGATGCTCAACTATAGACTTCCTGTTGAAAGTTTGTTGGAGAAGCATATGAGCAGGAAGTTGGTGGACCTGACAGCCAGCAAGCCTGTCCTGCAGAGGGAAACCTGGAGAGAATTACACACACCTGGATGCAGACGCACCAGCTCAAGCGCATGTGTTGTCAGACTCCTACAGAGACACATGCACGCTTTATATTTAGTCAGTGTCAAATCAAACACGCACAGCTGCTGCAGCTCATCTGGCACATGAAATTTACCCTTGAACCTCAGCCTAGCCAGCATTTTGAGGCATCTTTCTGAAACATGGTCCTCAAAAAACCCAGCAACAGAATTTGCAAACAACTTTAATGAGTAGAAGAGTGAGATCAAAAATACAGAACAAAAATACTCTAAATTTCGAGGTCACAGTTTAGCTATAATTTAGGTTATTTTAATTGGAGTAAAACAAATTAACATTTTCTGAAACATAGTGTAAATAACTTATAAGAATATAACTTATAAAAATGCAAATAAGAACATTTATTCTAGTCCCTCCCAAAAACTGGCTGTCCAAGTTAATCAGAACCTCCAGAAACAAAAAATAATAATATACACAAGAACATTATAGTGTTTACATATAGAAAGTTCTCATCCAATGTGCGATGCAGCACTTTTTATCTATTGTGTGATGTCATGTGACATTATTGCAATGGGCATTCAGACAAAGCCAGTTTACCATGCGTGTTTTATAGCTAATTTTCTATATACATTGCATACAGTATATGCATCTGTTGTCATAAGTCTATCTCTCTCTCTCTTTCTCTACTTAACAAATGAGACGTTTAATGGCCCATCTGATTAATAGTAAAAATACAGAACAAAAAGCAGCAGAGTTTTACATTTACAAATTAAAAAAATTTGCAGTTATAGAAATTCTGTGAACTTTAGCTTATATGAAGAATAAAAATTGAATGGGGAAAAAATTTGTATTTACTTAATAGTATGTCAGACTACTAAAATTAAGTAAAATATATATTATTGCTCTAAATCGCCCACTAATATGTCTTTAGAATGACTTGTCTTTGTTAATTTTATAATGAAAGCTCGATAATTTTAGATGTGGAGAAAAAAGTAAAACATTGCAATGCATTAGGCCTACTAGGCTGATTGCACAACTTTTATTATGATTATTGTAATGCTATTGGTGAAAATATTTTCTACAAATTTTGTTTTTTTTTTGATAATGTTGTGTGCTTTGTGTATCAAATATGATATGGTGGGGATTTACAGATTCAAGAGGTAAACATTTAAGTTTCTCTCTTTGTTTCTCTTGGTGTTTTCTTTATAAACTAAAGAAAATATTTATTATAAACTTTATAAACTAAAGAGATCAATAGTTATTGTGGTTCCTCACTCACTCACTCACTTTCCATTGGCTTATTCCTGCTTTTACCAGGGGTCACCACAGCAAAATAAACTGTCAATTACTAAATATATTTTAGACAGTAGATTCCAGTCCTGCTGCAACTTATGCCATGTTCAGACTGCATGATTTGAGCCCCGATTTTGACTCGCCGACAGGTTTTAAGAAATTGCAGACAAATGCCTGAAATCACAGGCAAATCGGTGCTCGTTCACGCGAATAACAATATCACAATGTGAACTATCAAAGACACGATCTAAGAGAATCGCAGATGAGTCGCCGATGCCCCTGAGATATTTGGCACACTAAATATATAGAGCTGTCGGCAATTCAAATCATGCAGTGTGAAATGTTTCTGATTAAAAATAAGATCGGCGATCACCTGCAGCCAATGAGAGAGCAGCATCCATTAGTATGGGTATCTGCAGGCCAGCGGGAGGATGGGGAGAAGTTAAAAGCGCTCATTTTCAGTCTATTTAGACCCAAGAAATAGAGGAAAAACTAGTGGAAATTTGGCAGGAACACTGTGTCTGACATGTCATCTGAGCAATATCCCAACCAGGTTGAAAAAGAAAAAAGTTAAGGAGAAATTGCTAATTCCCTTCAAACCCAGGTGAGCAAATATGTACATTTTCTACCCCATTAAAGCTTCTTTCTCATTATGTAGGTAATAACAAAAGATATATTACACGTTTTTGGTTGTGAGACGTAGTTTGGAAGAAGTTGTCTGCGATTCTTGCTTGCATCCATCTTGCAGTGTAAACAAAGCAGCGACAAAACACTAGACCACATAGTCATGCAGTGTGAAAACATCTGTGACATGTCTACTTTGAAAATCATGCAGTCTGAACTCGGTATTAACAATGAGAGTACAATAATCAGTGCTGGGAAACGCCCACACACTAGCCCATTCACCAAGGCCAATTTAAATTACCAGTTCACCTATTCTCCACAGGACTTGACACTTTTAAACCCTTGCTCCAACAGACTCCGCCCAGACTCATCAACGCCGCCAAACCCACCAATCACCGAGCTAGCGCTACGCATCATCGCAAAGTGTAGTTACATTTTTTGACAGGTGCGCGTCAGAGTCAGCGTCTGCCACGAGGAGGGATAAGCAAATGCATAAAGGCTGCGTCAGAACATACGTGTGTGCTCAACGCATAGATATAAATCAACCTTGAGCCTTACGTGCCAATCTTATGGTCAAAAAAGAAGAAGACATACAATTTTCACAGCAAAACTCCAAAAGAAATGCTACAAATCCTGTTTTATATTGTAGCTATATCTGTCATTTTAGTGGCAAAAATTTTTATATTTTGTGCAAATATTTGATGGTTAAGGGTTACAATAAACGATAAATATTGGTAAATTATTACTTATTATTATTATTTATTTACTTTTTTATTCTTTGTGTTTAGCAAAAGAAAGAAACTCATACAGGTTTGGAAAAAAAAGTGATAGATGAGTAAATGAGAATAAATAATTAAAGAAAAAATAATGAAATATTTGGGGAAAAACTATTTTTTAAATCATTTACTTAATTAAGAGGTTAAAAAATATGCTTGTGCCATTGTGGATGCTCAGTGTTGTACACTCCTCACTTCCATTTACTATAGGATTCTAGTGTGCTTAAGTAATTTCTGACCAAATAATAATACTAATAATAACACTAATAATAAATTACTGTCATTTTTGAACAGCTTAGCGGATCATTGCTGAATACAAGTATCACATTTCTTGAAAAAAATCAGATCACAAACTTTTAAAGGTAAATGATTGCGTAACACATTACATGAATATATTTTGAGATAAAACACAAAATTCTCTAATTTAATTACAGTATTATCAGGTTTGACCCAACAGTTATGAGAATAATCTGATTTACACTTAATTTGCTGGTTAATATGCAGGACTGTGTCTTTGTCTGATTTGTTCTGTTTAATTTTGGAACTATTATAAGTGAGAGTTTTCCTCAAGGACAAGCTGAAGAAAAACCTGCAATGTCGTAGCATTCACATGCTGCTACGTCATTACAGAGGACCAGCCAGTCCCTTTTCTGCTGACACCATGAGTGTGCTCACTTACCGGGTGGTGGTGGGGGTATGAGGGGGGGTGTGGTGCTGATGGAGGGAGGAGGGAAAGGTGGAGGTGGGATATTTGGAGGAAAGAAGGGCAACAGCTTTGGGGAAGATAACTCAGTGTCCGCGGATTTCTCTGACACAACCTGAAATGCACACAGAAATAAGAGATCACTACTCTATTTTACTCTTTTTGGGGCTGCCCAAAATTTTTCATATGAAAGGCCAAAAACCAAATATCACTGTAAACTGTGGGCTGAAGGTAAATATACCAAACTATATTACATTACAGTTATCATGGCTAATTTTCTCATTTATTTCCTAACATTTAATTTCAGTTAGCTTTTAACAATAAAATAAACAAAGGGTTACAATAAATCTGAATTGACAATCTCTAAACTTATTCTCTCTTTTCCCAGATGGGATGGTGGGCCAAATTAAAGGTTATCAGGGGCCAACTTTGACTCGTGGGCCCTAGTTTGGGCATCCCTAATTTTACATTTCCAACTAAATTCAATTTAATTCATTCATTCACTCATTTTCTTTTATGCTCAGTTCCCTTAATTACTTTGGGGTCACCACAGCGGAATGAACCGCCAACTTATCCAGCATATGTTTTTTTAATAAAAAATGTTTTATTGTCTGTTACCAAATGGGAATACATAATTGAACTCAGACAAACGCTAACACACAACAAGTCTTGATGGGGTGGATGGGAAGAGTCTTTTTTTTAATTTTTTTTATTTCCTGTTGTGGCCGACGTGTGTTCAGAGCCGCATTGGGCAGCAGAATAGGGAGCGAACCCCCCGGTCCTCACTTTCATCTGCTACATCCACCCCCTCCCTCATGGTCCTCACTTTCATCTGCGAACCGCATTTCGAGACTCGCGTGATCCTTTAAGGTAATCAAAAATCGCTGCTTACATGGTAGACTAGACTCTTAATCAGTATTATCTTAATGATAAAAGCGGAGTTGTGGTGTCCATGTAAATGCACTCAGTGAAAATGCCAGATAAAGCCGCAAGCTGTCAAAAGCCCCTTTCACACAGTGATACCGGTAAATATCCGGAAAATTTACGGAACGACTTTACCGGTATATACAAAAAAGCGCTGTTCACACAGGCGAGGACGTTACGGAATTTTTCCGGAAAAGAGCATTCACACATCCATTCCAAAATACCGGTAAATTCTGACATCATTCACCACAAATGAGCTTTAAACGTCTGCGCTTGTATTTGTAAACATTTGACTAAATTACAAACTCTTTTGATGATCAATATTGTAAACAACTTTCACAGGATCATTTTCGCATGTCGAGATGTTCATAATATGTGCGTGTGCAGGCGCTCACAGGCTGTTTCATGGGCAAACAAACAACGGCTTATCATAAGCATCTTATCGATGATTATTTGCACAGTTGGCATTAAGAAGAACATATAAACGTTATCTGACTAACTTCTAGCAGCTAAATGTGTCTGGAAAAATATTCAAAGGCTTTTATTCTCACAAACCGCGCGGACGTAAATGCGTCTGAATGTTGTGATTGGCTAAAGCAGAAGTCTTACGTCAGCACGTTCTAGACGTGCACGGGCTTATTCCGGAAATCTTCCTTCTGTGTTCACACAGCACAGCATTCCGGCAATTTGCCGGTAATGTTACAACTTCTCTTTCCGGAAAATAGCCAGAACGAATTTACCGGAAAGGTCTGTATGTGTGAAAAGGGCTAAAGACTGCCTATTTCTCTGCCTTTCAGCTGCTTCCATGAGAAGTTTGACGTGTTTCCCCACTACACGCAACTTTTGTAAACCATCTGCTTTACGCTGTTGTGTCAGAATCCTTGCTTGTAAAGTACAGCCATACTTGTTGATGAATCTAAAGGGATCCCTCGCTCACCGCGGGTGCGCTGTACTGCGCACGTTGTCTGACTGTCTGTCTGTCTGTGTGTGTGTGTTTGGGTGTGTTTGTGTGTGAGTGTTTGTGTGTGTGTATTTACATGGAATTCATTTTTGTTTTTTATTTGCATTGATTGTTCTGAAATTCAAATGGCACTAACATGCCTGTGTTTTTTTTTTGTAATAAATTCGGCGTATAATAATAATTACTCACGATTAATTACATTAAATACGTTTTGTGATTAACTATGATTAATTACAAAAAAGTGTGATTATTTACATTAATTAAAAGGGAGATTGCAAAAAAGCAGCTTCTGCTTTAAACTAGACTTGTTGAGTATTTACTATTAAATATCTACTATTCAAAAATATACAAATAAATTTAAAATACAGTAAAACCCTCTAAATCTAGTTAAATCATATTGAGTTTGCAGCTGCATATTATTGGAAGATCACAGACAGAAACATTGAACAGCTCCACCAGAGCACATCTGAAGCTCATATGCGAGCTTATTTTATATCCTATGACAGAAACACCATTGGGCCTCGCTAGATCCTCCTGCATGTGTGTGCGTCCATTATAAAACACTTACAAGATATTAATTTGGACAACTAGAGAGATTTAGACCACTTCACGCATAGTTTGTGAATGAACAGACTTGTGTAGTCACAGATGCCATCCAGAGTGGTTGTTTTTTTCAGCGCATTACTTCAATTATTGTAACATAGCATATTAATAATGAAATCCAAAAATTATAGTATAATATTGAGAGTTAATCTTGCGGCCCACCTGCAAGATCGCTTATGCCCACTAGTGGCCTGTGGCCCACCGGTTTAGAATCCCTGCTTTTCGCCACCAATTCTATTTCATCAGCATATTTTATAACTGTCAAATTGTCACTATCACAAGTTTTTCATTTATATAAATAGAAAATAAAATTGGTGTTAGTAGACATCCCTGTGGAAAGCCGGTGTTTAAAAACCACATTCTCTGACTGTTTATATTTTGTGTCAATCATTTATGCACAAACACACCTGGATGTTATTTTCATCAGCACCGTGACGTCTTCTGCCTTCCACTCGACTGATGGTCCCTGAATGTCCACCGATAACATTGATCAAGCCGCTCGACTTCCTGCATTCACACCCACACACATAAATCAAAGTCAGATCATTATGTTGAGTCCATATGTGTGAGTCAAGAGGATAAAATGTGTGCTGCACACTGCAGGCCATTTAATGAACATGAAAGATTGCTGGTCTTTTTTTGCATTATAAGACACTTGGCACGCACACACAATCTCAGTCACTGCTATTTTCCTGCTGATCTGGGAAATCTCCTCTCATGTGCACAAATATATTTTTAGTTCATGTAGACACAGCATTTGCACACTTGTGCGCCGCGGTAGTCATCATCATTCATAAATCTTCAAGTCCCCTGAAACGAGGCTACAAATCCTTTCAGTGATGCACAAATGAGCTAGGCACTAACCTATTTCAGTCACTAAAAATTCATCAAATGAAACATTAATACTGCATAGTAACATTGGCCATGGTGCAGTCTAAGCAACATGGTCATGTTCTTTCCATAAGTCATGTTCATTGTTTCTGTCCTATGGGTGAAGTTTAGGACAAATTCAGCTACTGTATCGAGAAAGAAACTGACACACTTAAAGAGTTTCACCTACTTTCAGCAGAAACAATAGTGAGTTTAAGCATTACACTCTTATGATTTTATGTAAAAAAGGACACATAAAATATTCAAACTCCTGCCTTAGCTCAGTAGTCCGATCTGATCACGTTTTCTATATTTTTAATCAATCTCGCAGTGAATATAAAAAAAATGTTCACTTAAAAAATACTGTTCTTAAAAGTTCTGGCATTTTGGTTCCAGGATGGTACACAAATTTTAATTAAAGGTGCTATGGTTTAGGGCACAGGTGTCAAACTCAGTTCCAAAAGTGCCGCAGCTCTGCACAGTTTAGTTCCAACCCTAATTAAACACACCTGATCAAACTAATTGAGTCCTTCAGGCTTGTTTGAAACCTACAGGTAAGTGTGTTGGAGCAGGGTTGGAACTAAACTGTGCAAGGCTTCGGCCCTCCAGGAATTGAGTTTGACACCCCTGGTTTAGGGCTTTCTGCAGTAATATGGTACCTGCTGTTAGGAGGATGTGTATCCTCCTGTCAAGAGTGACAATATTTTTTGTTTACTCCGGTTACAATGATCAATACTTCTAATTATAATCACACTGCATTATTTTAGATATGTAATTTCAAATAGTTACATTAAAAACATATATTTACAGTAATTTTGCATTGTAACCAAAGACCGTAAAAGATATTGATGTAGAATTCGTGACTTCACTTATAGGTTTCTGAGAAACGCAAAAGAAGGTACAAGTAGACGTGGCCACTCATCGCCATTTTGTTCGAGTGTCATCGCACCGACTGGGGGAAACCAAACAAGGGCAATGAGGCGGAGCGTAAGCAGAGCTACAGACGCCTGCTGGCATTTTGCTTAGACAGGCTTTTCTTTAGGAGAAATGTTTAATACTTGCAACTGTGTTCTGACCACATTGTTGTGTACTATATCAATAAAATGTTCAGACTTTTAAAAACACTGTTGTAATACATTGAGCCAATTAGCATTGTTCTTATGATGTTTTTCCACAGGAGGAAAACTTCCAAACCCTTCAAATATAGTCTGTGTTAGTAAATGCAAGGCTATTTATGAAATCCAGGCAAAACACTCTATGACAACGTTTCAGATGACTTTTCTATATCTTACTGCTAATCAATCTGTCAGATTCTGGACTTCTACATTATAGTTCTAAAGAAAAATAAAAAATGACAAATGATCTTAAACAAAACAAATACATTTATAGAGATGGTATATAAGTAGATAATTTCCCTCACCTGGGAAATGGAGGCCACGTGATTGGTGTGCGAGCACAATTAAGTGCACACAGCATGCCATATCATCTGATAATTGAAAGAAATAATGCCAAAAAGCAACTGTCGGTGTTAAGCCACATAAAACAAAACAAAACAAAAATACGATGTATATGCCGAGTTCAGCGGCTAATCAGCCGGAATCAGCTGGTGAAGTGATGGCGACCGGCGAGACCTAGCTTTCACTCATGTGGCCACACCCTTAATTACTTAATATAACTTAATATTAACAAAAAGGATGAACGAAAACCACTACCACACCATGTAATTAATGAGGAAAGTTACATTTTTGGGTGAACTATCCCTTTAATTTTTTTTTTTTTAAGTAAGGCAATTATGAATAGTTCGCAATAAAGTCAATAACCCATGTTTAGAGCATAGGGTGAACGTTCATTTCTTATCAACTTTAATAAATGTATTTCCCATTCATTCAGTCAAGCTGTACCTGAATAAGCACATGAACTCAAGTGAACTCTTTATTTTGTGCAAAACCATTGCATTATAATGGAGCTGAACAAGAGCGAATGACAATCTCTGTCGAGGCCTGTTTGGTTCTGAAAATGCCACCTCATGCTCTGTTTAAACGGGTGTACTGTGACTGACTTCTGCATCCTGTCTGTGCGTGTATGTGTAATAATGAAAGCCGGACTGTTGCTTTACCCTTGAATGCTTCGGTTCATACACGTCCCCCTGAGCGAAGCGTAACCTTCAACTGATCGAGGAGAGGTTCAAGGAATGGCTGATTAAAAATCACCCCCGCAAACTCCTGCCCAGGACCAAAGGCAGTCTGGACCACCAGGACTACATCGTGGTGTGTGTGTGTGTGTGTGTGTGTGTATATTTGTGTTGCGTCTTACTGAGAAGAACTAGTGAAATATCAGAAGGTTTCACCCATCAGGATGTTTTCTTCAGGGGAAAACAGAAAACAAGAGCTGATAGAAATCATGAGGGAGTAAAAAAATTGAAATAAGACTGGTGTAAAGAGGCATGATAACGTGCGTATGGAGCATTTAGGACAACAGCAGAAAGCGATTATCACATAATGACGCTGTTACTTGGAAGGAGTAGTAAATAATCGGCCATTAAGTATCCTACACTGGCCTTACACCAAACAACTCTAATGCATGTGATGGTTTAAGTACAAAAATATTGAAAACACAACCAAGTACACTAATTCAACTTCTTCATTATACTTTTTTGATATAGTTTCTCACTGTAAATATAAAAAGCATGAGTGTCCTTTTTTGTTTCACTGGTATACCTTCAAGCAAGTTCAACCAATTTAAATGTTATTTTATATTCTGCAAATATTTATCATACTCCAGTGCCTAAAAATAAGTAATGATGTAAGACACTAACATTTACCTTTACTGCTAGGAAAATAGTAGGAAGACTCAAAAAAGACCTAGGACAAACCAAACCATTGTACACCCAAAACGTTGTTTTTTTGTCAACACTTTCGAGAACCAGTTCTACAAAAATAATTAAATGGATATAAAATATATAAACACATAACTAAAATTAAAATAAATTGTAATTTACTCTCCCTGATATAATTTTAGGAAAATCGTGTATAATACCTATATTCATTTGTATGATTTATACTGATATGTTTGCAGTAGAATTGATATACGCACCTGGATGAATATTCTGACAAATCATGAGAGCTCTGATGCACCTGATGAAGAAAGAAGGAAAGGGAAAATAAATATATATGCACGCACACAGTACTCTACAATCTCAAGAGCCTCCTAATCTATCTGCTGCATGATGCATAATAAATGATCTTTATATTTTGCCTAATCAAGCCATGTATGATAATCCTTAAAGCTTATTGGACTCAATGCTAACAAGGTTTGGTATACCATGTATTATTGATTTTTATTTTTTCCAATACAATTTTTTTGACATCAACACATTCATTTAATTGGTAACAACTGAAGTGTTGTCTTACATTTACTGAAACTAACTAAAAAAAGTAAGAATTAGATTTTAGCATGTTTTAGATTGAGCATAATAACTCTTGGCCAGTGAAGTAACTGGGTGACTATAAACTTTGTAAAAACACCAGCCACAGTGGATGGTGAAAAACACAAAAAAGTTAAAATGAAGTTCAAACCAAATTCAACCAATTCATTCACATGTCTGATTCGAAACTCAAGAATGTATCAAGTGGCAGTTTTTAAAAATGAATCATTGATTTACATGAATCTTTGAAAACAGAAACACATTCAGTAACAAAACACTTCTCTGTGTTGTTTGAAGATATGCAACTGTTCTGCAGTTATACTTGTTTGACCATTTTTAAGAACAAAATAGAGCAAAAACAGCCAACACTGACCATAGGCATGGGCCGGTATAAGATTCTGACGGTATGACAGCCTTGGATATAAAATCACGGTTTCACAGTATTGTGATTACTGCTCTAAAATATATTCTGTTTAAATGTTTGGGTAAAAAACAACAACCTTTTCCACTTTGAACACAATATATTTTATTTATATATTTTAAATAAAAAATCTTACACATACATGACTTTTCCAAACCGCGGTATACCTTGAACACAGTTATCGTCCCATGCCTAATCGACCATGCTGTTTTTAAAATGTAAGCCACATAATATTAACAACTCACTGACTAATCGAAAAACAGCCCTTGGTCTGTATTGATTAACTAGTAGTAATAATTTCTAATTATAAGAAATTAAAAGCACAACCTTACCAAAATATGGTTGTTCTGTAGGTTTCTGTGGGCAGTTGTGCCCATTTGTTTTGACTTCTCCTTCAGAAAACTCAAAATTTTTTACTGTCAATGGCATACATTATAAATTATTACATTTATAATAAATGCGAAAAATATCAGAATCATTCCTGCTAACGCTTCAGTGCGTCTCTGGGTTGAGGTTTTATTCTGGTTTCTTGTCTGGCTGGAACAATTCTCTTTCAAAGGGTTAAAAAATCCACCTTTCTAAGACAAAAATAAATAAATTATAGAGTGCAGTTATAGTATATAAAAAAAAAATCAAACAGCGGGATTTATAGTGTTACACACCACTGCTGAAATCCACCTACATTTGGCGAGTGTTAATGCCAAGCCTTGATTCTAACATCAATCCACGAAAATCAATAGCAAGTCAAGTATTCTCTATAGGATGCTTTCAAGTCAAGTGGGTAAAAGGAGAATTACGAGTCGAGTACATATGAAAGTAAACACAAAGTTGCAGAGTTTCTCTGTTAGTGACATTAATGAGAACAAAATGTCACGTCCAAATGATGCGGCCTCTGTACAAATTTGTTGAAATTACATGTTTTTTAACTCACAATGGAAAAAGCAATTAAAAACTACTTTACATTGTCCAACAAACCGCATATGGAACAATTCAGGTTATAGTACAGTCTTATTGAGCTGAATAACATGATTAAAAAAATGCATAAGCACATCTAAAGTGTATTATTAAATATACTCATCATTTTGTAGATATTTATTTTTTCAAAATGATCTAAACAGACCTAATCTCACAATTATGAGCTTCCAAATTATAAATTCTAACTTCAAAGGAGGGCATGAACACATCACACTTTGTGTGCTGCATTGAGTTGCGTCCTATATAGGGCACTCCTAATCTTTCCCTTAAGAGGTTTCATGACAGTTAACAGTATATTTTACACTTTTTTCTATTTTGTCCTCATTTACTTACCATCCACTTGATCTAAACTAAGTTTGAGCCTCTTTCTTCCGCTAAACACAAAATAAAACATTTGAAGAATGCTGGAAACTAGTAAATATTGATTTCCACAGTACTTTGGCTCATATAATGGATGGCAATGGCTAAACCAGTTACTAACACTCCTCAAATTGTCTTCCTTTTGTGTTAAACAGAAAAAAGAACCAACGGCAAGTGAAGGGTGAATAAACGTCCAGTTTTGAGTGAACTATCCTTTAAGAAGCTCCCTTTGTATACAGTTGGCTATAAAAGCAGTAAAGCCGCTCACTAGGCTTTGCAACAGAGATAATCAATGCCCTATAGCAACTCATTATTAACATCAACATGAATCGTCATGAGAGAAGTGAGGGCATATTTTAGATGTACTGAAAGTACCGTTATCTTGTTGGATGACCCCAGGCTCAGGATTTCTAGGCTCATGCGCAGTCGTCTCTGTTTGTCACAGTACACTTTCCAGGAGTCCTCATTAAAACCGTAGTTAAAGTAGTCAGACAGATCCGCACCTGCGTTTATACACATGCACTGTTTAAGAGTGTACTTGAGAAAGGTACTTTTTAATTTATGGAAACATTAGCACACACACACACACTTTAAACGCACCTGGTTTCCTCCACGGCTTCTCCTCAAATGACTCCACATCCACCTGCAGGACAGCGCCTTCAGCATCCAGCCCTCTGGACTTGGAGCCTGACTCAGAGTAGATAAGAAGTTATAGGGTAGATTCACACACACACTGAGATCAAACCAATACCAGAGAAATTTTCTGAAGGATTTTCAGCTGCACTGGACAGGCTGGTTGAAAATTAATGCTTTCTTCACGAAGGTATTTAATAATGTATATACAGGACTATACAAATGGATATCAAATGGGTGCTAATCAAAATAATTTAGATTACCAATGATGTGTTAACATTTTATATTTAACCATTAAATGGATAGTTCACTTTCATTCATTTATTCTTTCATCCATTCATTCATTCATTCATTCATTCATTCATCTTTACTTATAAAGCACTCTACAACCACCGGGCAGCAGACCAAAGTGCTCAACAGTAAAATGAAAATAAAACACTAACCACACATAACACATAGTATACATCTCAAGTAGTAAAACAACTGCACGCATAAGGCTTACATTTATACTGTTCAACAGATATCAGATAAGGTGACAAAGGCCAAGAAGAAAAGGTAAGTTTTGAGATGTGATTTGAACAGAGATATCGAGGGGGCCTTTCGGATGTAAGAAGGTAGGGCGTTCCATAACTTGGAGGCAGCCACCGCAAATACATGGTCACCTATAAGCTTGCGTCTGGTTTTTGGGACTCTAAGAAGCAGCTGATCTGCTGATCTAAGAGCACACGTCGGTAAATAGGGGTGTAGCAGTTCAGATATGAAGTGTGGGGCAGAACCATTTAAGGATCTAAAGACCAACAAAATAATTTTAAAATGAATTCTACATTGTACAGGTAACTGGTGAAGTGTGCATAAAATCGGAGTGATATGATCAAACTTACGACTCCCTGTTTAAAGACGTGCTGCAGCACTTTGCACAAGCTGTAGACGGGCCACAGAAGACCCACTTATCCCTATGTGAGTTACAGTAATCCAGGCAAGTAGTGACAAAGGCATGGATTACAGTTTCAAATTGTTGTCTTGACAGAAATAGCTTTATTTTCCTCAGTTGTCTCAGCTGGAAAACGTTTGCTTTGACCCCTGCCCCTATTTTATTGTCCAACTTTAAGTCAGGATCAAGTTTAACCCCAAGATTTGTGATGGTTGGTTTGATGTGCTGAGCTAGGTCACTCAAATCAATCGTGGAAGTCACAGTAGTATCCCAAAAAACCATGACTTCTATTTTCTTTTCATTGACGCTTAAAAAATTAAGAGCCATCCAGGACTTTATGTCATCTAGACACTGGAGCAGTGATCTAATAGTCTCACTTTTTCTAATAGGGACGTAGATCTGGGTGTTGTCAGCATACAGGTGGAAAGACAAGCCATGCCTTCTAATTATTGACACGAGGGGGAGCAGATAGAGAAAAATAAGAGGGCCTAATACTGAGCCCTGTGGGACCTTATGCAACAGAGGGGCAGGGGAAGATACATGATCCCCAATGCTGACGCTAAACAAACATCCACCCTTCCAAATAGGACCTAAACCACTCAAGCGCCACCTCTTTTATGCCCACCCACTTTTCCCAAATGCCCAATCACTTTGTTCAGCGCCTTTGTTCGCTCTCTATTTGTTCGAAACCAGTTTTATTTTTCTGATGAACACAAATCAAGATATTCTGAAGCAAGGGTGTCCAAACTCGGTCCTAGAGGGCCGGTGTCCTGCAGATTTTAGCTCCAACTTGCCTCAACAAACCTGCAAAGATGTTTCTAGAAAGCCTAGTAAGAGCTTGATTAGATAGCCTAGGTGTGTCTGATTGGGGTTGAGACTAAACTTTGCAGAACGATGGCCCTCCAGGACAGAGTTTGGACATGCCTGTTCTAAAGAATGATGGGAACTGAACTGGGCCACTGACTTCCATTTAAAAATATGGATCCTATCCTATAATGCAGGGGTGTCAAAACTCAAAACTTAAATAGGGTTGGAACTAAACTGTGCAGAGCTGCGGCCCTTTTGGAACTGAGTTTGACATTCTTCAAAATATCTCTTTTTGTGTTCAATGGTAAAATAAACTCATAAAGGTTTAGAACCACTTGAAGGTGAAAATAAATGGTGATTAAGCTTTTTGGGTGAAGTATTTGAAATAATTATTATTAGTATATAACCGTTTGAAGACAAGCTTCCGCATTTTTATAGTGTGTTTTTATTTGCTCTTAATGTTAATTTTAACTTCCTGGTGTAGATAATTAGTATTTATCAAAGTGTGGATGTCAGTTGGCAGCTGCACTTCATATTTGTATCTTTTTTATCTAAATTTAAAAAGTTTTTTCAGACTAATTGCATCAATGCGGAGAGAGATGGAGAGGACCACATTTTGTACTTAAATGTTTGACATAAACCTACATAAATCATTTATTTTAGTTTGTTCAACATTGACTTTTTTCTGTTGTTTCTGAACCACTGACAGACACATACAAATATTTAGGATTAGAATGAATTTAGACTAATTTAAGACAGTTAAGACTGAAAATAAAAGGAAATAAAAGCGCTATTTTACTAACAAATGTGAAATTACTTATATCACCGTGAACATCTAAAGCAGTGGTTCTCAACTGGTTTGGCCATGGGACCCACATTTTTACATGGTCATCAACCCGAGACCCTAATTTTGAGGAACTATAATATAATTTTAGGAACTATAATTAGTTTGCATTTATTTGTTAACATACACAAGTAGTGACAGATAAATCATAAGAAAATCCCCAAGACTTACAAATAAACAATATTTTATTGCTGTCCTTTAAGAAAATGTCTCAAATTATAGAAATATTACAAAGTAAAAACGACAAATGTTTGGTTTCTAAATTTGCTCTTGTGAGAGCACATCACTACATATGACACACTGAGGTTTTATGCCTTTTTTGTGGTCAATATATGTAAATCCATACTTTACATATTCGGGGTCGTACTTGTGCTTCGACGTATTTGTTGCTATAATTAAATGAAATTTCACGTGTCAAACGCTATGGTTGTCACTCGCGCATTTCAAAATAAAAGTCTAGTATAAGCACAATAAGTTAAAAATTAAACGTTTGTTGTTGTTGTTTTTAACCACACACTCTGCAACCCACTGAAAATGTTCCTGCGACCAACTGTTGGGTCGCGACCCACCAGTTGAGTAACACTGATATACAGTACAGTAGTCACCAACTGATTTGTAAAAGCATCCTAAACTACAGCTCTGTTCATAAGTTTACATACACCTTGCAGAAAGTGGCAATTATTCATCATTTTAACTAAATAAGAGAATTCCTGAAAACTGAATGTTATTTTGATTTTTAGTATTGTCATGAATATGATATTTCAACTAAGAGATGTTCACAAAACAGATAGTAACTAAATGGATCAAACATTATCAAATTCAAAAATGTATATATGCTTCAATCATAACTTTATATCATGAGCATACACTTCCTATCTTCTACATACAGTGTATTAAGTAATGTATTGGAGAAAATAATTACATGACAAAACAAACTAACTAATAAATGAAATTATTCATGGTAGTAAACTAGTTTTTGCTAAATTGAACTGAATATCAGTTTAACAGACTAATTACCTGCACTTTATTACCTGATGCAGAGGATTTTAGGTTCAGATTGATGGACCCGGAACCAAATGACCTGCACATCAAACCACATTATTATTGCAATTTATAATACCAAGAATACTTTAAGACATGTTCAGTATCTCTAAATCACGGTGACATACAGTTACTAATACAGTTATAAACCTCTAACTGAATCACTCACGAGCCCTGAGATGCGCCTGTTTTAATGTCACCAATGGTCACACAGACATCGTCGTCACTGTCTGAGTCACTGTCCTTTGAGGAGGGAAAAACAAAATGGTTGTTTTGTGAATGTCAAATGACTTCACTACATTATAAAGATTAAGGAAATAAACACCATTTCAAAATGTGTTTGGCTTAAGTTAGTACCTGGTAACACACTCCATTGACACCATCCACATCCCCAATCAGAGCACTGCAGAAGAGAGATATGGGTTTGTAATTGATATGTCAGATTAGACAATGATGCAAGTCATTAAATTAAAAATAAAGAGAAAAAAAAGTGACAAGAGGTAATAGATGAATTAGATTTAACAAATAAACACAAATGAGTTCAATAGTATACAAATTTATTCAATACACTGGGTAAAACAAAATGGTGGGAGCATTTTTGTAGTGCACGGTTTCAAAAAAAATATATAAAAAAATACACAGTTCATTTTTAGAAAATATAAAAACAAATATGGGACAATAAAAAATTAGATGAGGGAGATTTAAAACAACAAAATGATTTAGCCAAGGAAATGATTTTTAATATATAAAGGTGTTTTAAAGCATCAAATACTGTATGTATTTCATACACTAAACAAACATTGTGTTATTTATTTAATCCAATGGTTGAGCTAAAAATATTTCATGTTTTGTTGGGTTATTTTAACCTTTGTTGGGTTATTTATTAATAACTTAACCAGTTGGGTAATTTTTTTTTATTTCAACAAATTTTAAGTGACACAGAACAACTCCATTAATAAGTGTGCACAATGTTGTTTTTGTATTATACTGTAATGTTTATTATGGTGGCTTAAGAAAGCCAACATACAGTTAGGTTCAAATAAACCTTCGTCTTCTTCTTCTTCTGAGACTAATTACTATATGCTTCTCCTCGTAGACCTTTCAAGCAACAAACACCAAACTAACTCCAGACCTTTAAACTGGTCTGACTCAGGTTGCTATTTCTTCCAACTGATGCGTCTGGCGGTTTTCCAAAAACTGACCCGGAACATTTGGAAAAGTCCTATTGACTTAAAGAGCCCATATTATACATGAAATATGGTCATATCCTGGTTGTAAGGGTCTCCAACAACAGTCTAATATGAATGCAAGGTCAAAAAACACTTTCATGGTCTTATAATCTGCATTTATTTTTATCTAATTATCCCAGCGACTCCTGTATGAATCGTCCAGTGATTCATTTGTTCCCAAACCCCTCCTTAGCGCGAAGCTAATCTGCGCTGATTGGACCAATGACAGTCTGTTGCGATTGGTCGACTGCCTTCAGTGAGAGAGTGAAATGCAACAGCTAATCAGCAATATAAAAGTAATCACAGTTCATACACGCTCGATAGTGTAGGCGTGGATTTTAGCTGCCAGTGGGTCAATGTAAATACAGACTATGGACTTGAAAATACAAACGACTATTTCATTGAGCAAAAACTCCAAAAACAGTTGAGGAGATCTCCTAGCTTGTCTCACTCTGCTCTTTTCAAAGACACACACACACATATTGCACACACACACACGCACACACACGCACACACACACGTACACCTCCGGATGACAGCGCGCACACACACACGCACACACAGACAGACACACACACTACTCCTCCTCCACGGAGCTCCGTAAACAAAGCAGCACGCATCGCGTTTTAAACGTAACTACGTATCCTTCTTTTAACAAACGCCGATGAAGTATTCTTTGTAGCATGCCGTTTCCAGAAGTTTCCTGTAGTTTCCAACTGCTTGGCTATAATGCTGAGGTTTCATCTTTGAGTAGAGACTCAATAATATCCATCTGCAGTGTGACTTCAATCGACCGGCATGTTTGTGTGTGTGTGTGTTTGTGTGTGTGTGTCTGGGTTTCTATGTCAGAGGTCGGGACCGCAGGTTTGAAATCTCCCGGGTTTGCGCGTGCACGTGAATAACTTGGTTTCATTCGTACGTCATGGCGAAACACCTAATGACTCGGTATCAAGGTGACTCGTTTGAAGCACTATGAGTCGACTCTTTTATAGATGTATCAACAGTTTTAAACACTGTACACTAACAGATTTAAGCCTTAGCTGGATACTTCTTCACTTAGAGCTGTGTTACACACTACATGGAAGGGCTTTTTTGAAAAACCCATAATATGGGCTCTTTAACATTGGACTAAACTCATTTAACTCAGACTACCAATCTTTTAACTTACTAGCCACACCATAGCAACCACTTATGGCACCCTAACAACTGTCCCATAGACTTCCATTGTAAAAATTGCCGTTGACTTTACATTGGACATACCAACAACATGCCAATTTATGCTAACAATATACTGATGAATACTAGAAACATACTAACGACATACAAACATACTAGCAATATACTGATTCATACTAACAACATACCAATCCATTCAAGAAACATACAAACAAACGTACTAATCATACTAGAAACAAAATTAGCAGCCACCTAGCAATGCCTTAGCAACCACTCAACACCCTAGCAAACACCTAGCAACACCTAAGCAACAACCTAGAACACCTTGGCAATTGCCTAGCAACACCTTAGAATAACATCTTAGTAACCGTCTAGAAACAACCTACTGTAGCAATGCCTTAGCATTCACCTATCAACGCCTTAGCAACTGCCCAGCAACCAATCAGAACACCCTAGCAACCACCTAGCAACACCTCAGCAACGACCTAGAAAAACCTTAGCAACCACCTAAGAAAACCTTAGCATCACCCTAACAACTGCCTAGCAACCACTCAGAATGCCTTAGCAACCACCAAGCAACACCTAAGCAAACACCTAGCAACGCCTTAGTAACCACCTAGCAACACTTTAGCAACTGCCAAGCAACGCCTTAGCAACCACTCAGAACACCCTAGCAACCACCTAGCAACATCTTAGCAACCACTCTGAACACCCTATCAACCACTCAGAACACCTTAACCAGTCAAAACACCTTTGCAACCGCCTAACAACCACTCAGAACACCTTAGCAACACCTTTGCAACCATTCAGAACACACTAGCAACCACTTAACAACTCAGAACCCCCAATCAATCGCCTAGAAAGAAACTTGCCAATCCATACTAGAAACATGCAACCTATATGTACTTATCTATGTATGCCAACTGTTTCAAACTTCTTAAAAACTACTTCAGTTATTTAAACTTTAAAACTACTTTAAACTCTCAGACTAGGCTTTCTCAAGCCACCATAAAGTTTGTCTACAAACTTTACTTTGAGTTTAAGTTTAAGCTCAAGTTTATTATTATTATTATTATTTTTTTTAAATCAAATTACCTCTCCGTGTGGTGTTTTTTCTATCTGTTTCACCCGCACTCTTAATTTTTGATGATACAATCGTGCACTTTGTAGCCGGTTTATATTAAATGGATAAAAACGCTGTGTCTGGAACTTAAAATGTAGTGGAAATACAGCATTTTCAATGTTTTTGAAAACTGCATGTAATTTATTTACACAGCCATATTTATAAATTTAAATAAAATAATAAAAATAACATTTAATCAAAATAACCCAACACTTTGGGTTCAATTTTATAACCCAATGCATTGGGTTAAAAATAGTCCATAGTTGTGAAGGTGCTATAATAATCTATGCTGGGGTATTTTTAACCCAACTATTTTAACCGATCACAGGTTTACATAAACTCAACAGATCACAAAACATCACACATTTTCATATATTAAAATAAGAGCTATGCATTTGGTGTATTAAAGAAAATCAAGTATTTCTTTTTTTCAGTCTATTTAAGCCTCTCAAAGTACTTCCTTGTTGGTAAATACTAATTTAAGTGTCATCTGAGGTCAGGTGTTTACTGCGCAGAAGAGACTTCATTTTATTTTGGATGAACAGACTTTCTTTCAGCTGTCCGATTTAATCACATGCACTAATTGATGCTACAGAACAATAAAAAAGCTTTTACACTCAGCAAATATATACACGTCCAATGAGGAGGATCAATTTACAAGCGCATCTTTAGCTGCAGGCCTACATTAGTGTAAGTGAGGCCTATATCACTGCATCCTCATCAGGCTTATTTAAGGCCAATGCAACGTGAGGGAAAATTCTCGCTTGGGTTTGAGTTTTACTCCACGAAGCTAATGAAGGTGAAGCAATCCAACCGATAAAAACCGCTGCGCTGACTCCAAGAAACAGCTAACACTGGGCCGGAAAGCAGAGGGATAAAACAATGGCTAATATCACATATTATTCCTATTCTAGTGAACACATAGTTTTATGAAAAAAAGAAAGAATATTTTAGTTACACTTTATATTGATAGTCTGTTTGTTGATTTAAGTTACATTGCAACTAATTATCATTAGATTATAAGTCTGTTAGGTTGGGGTTAAACATGTACTTGCAAAGTTTCTTATAGTCTGTTAAATGTCTGTTGAAGGAGCAGTATCAACAGATATTAAGCAAACAGTCTATTAATACTCAATTAGACCATCAAGTAAACTGTTACCAATATTTTCTATGCCTAAAAAAAGCTTCTTTAAAATATTCTTTTTTTTTTTTTTTATCTTTCTACATGCCTTAATTATCATTGTTGTTAAGAATGACTTTGGGGTTGTTGAATTGACATTTATTTGTTGTAGTTAAACATCCAATTATGCAGATTAACCATTGTTACCACTGTTTTGATATCACTTAAAAAATGTTGTGTTATAAATTTAACCCAATGGTTGAGTTAAAAATATTTAGTGCTTTATTGTTTTTTTTTTAACATTTATTGAGTAATTTATTAATAACCAGTTGGGTTACATCTTTTGTGCTTTGTTGGTTTATTTTTGACCCTTTATTGGGTTATTTATTTATTTAACCAGTTGGGTTAAAAAATTAGAATTTCAACAGTCACCTGATTTTACCGACCAAAAAAACTGTATTATGCGTACGTAATGTTGTTTTTGCGTTATAAAGTTTAAGCTATAATGCAATATATATATATACATACATACATACATACATATATACATACATAAATATATATATATATATATATATATATATATATATATATATATATATATATATATATATATAAATTTTTTTTTTTTTTTTTTTTTTTTTTTAACCAAATTACTCCTCCGTGTCCTGTTTTTTTAATATTTTTTTCACCAGAAAACTCAATTATTGATGATACTAATGCACGCTTCACAGCCGATCTATAGTAAACGATTAAAAAGGCCTGCATTTTCAATAGCCACAATTTTATTGTTAGGGAAATATTTTATATGCATAAATATGACTTTGACATTTTAAAATTACTTAATTTAGATTTTTGTGTGTCGTGTATGGGCTTTCTCAATAATAATGAGCAAATGGGTTTTAGTTTTATAGTGTCGTATTACAGTTAAGTTTTTATTTCACATGACTTTTCAGAGCTCAAAAAGAAGAATTTACCAAATTTATCTCTGACCAAGTTTAATCAGCAAAGCTTGATCAGCAAAGTTTGATCAGCAAACATAAATAATTATTTCTTAGCCACACATTTTAAATGCGTCAAAACAAGCAAAATATAGCTGTATGCTATACTTTTTTATTTAACAAAACATTTCGTTGAAAATGAAAAAAGTAATTATTATATCTAAAATTTGCACAGTAATCTGTCCTGGCTAAAGTTCACAGATCACCAGTTCTACACAAAAATGGGGAGTTAATCTCTTGTTAAAGCAATGTAATTGTAAAAAAGGGTAATTAAACAATGTTAAAGCAAAAGAAAGCAGGTGAAAACCAGTGTGCGATAATAAAAGGCTGATCACACGCACATGGTTAATTAGGCCAAATTATAATCAGTTAAAAAAATTTGTGGTTAAAGCGAAAGCAACCGGTGCTGCTTACAAAAAGACAAATCTGGAGCTCTTGAAAGCAGCAAGACTGTGGGTGCATGATCATAACTTTTTGCCTTGTATTTAAAAGAGAACCGATCACATTAGTTACGTTTCTATTCACAGTTGCTTCACGTAAGAAAATGGGAACGCACACATTTTAAATAGTCAAGCTCATCAGATGTCAGTGCGGGTGATCATCCTCTTATTTGGTATTCACCTGCTTTCTTTTGCTCATGCGAATACAATTATTTTTATTCATGATTTTTATCATTTTTGTAGTGCTGCTTCTCGATTCTATATTCGGATATGCATGCATATTGGGCCATCCCTATTGTCAAATCCTGCTTTTAAGAAAACTACCATTTAAAAATCATTTTCAACCAGCCAAAGTGGCTAGTGTGAGAGGCTGTCTAACCTACCACAGCTGAAATCTACCAGCACTTGGCGGGTTGGCAGGTGTTAATGTCAGGCCCTACATGTATACGTATTATGTATTTATAAAAAATACATTTGCGCAAGATACAGTAAGTACTTTTTAAATATGTTATTGTGCTTTTTATGTTGTTTGTTTTTATATTAAGATTTTTGGGACAGCCTCCAACATGTCTGTATTTCCCAAAGATAAGAATATTTTTTTCCTGTTTATTAAACTTAATAGAAAGTATATAAATGGAATAAAAAAAAAAAGCACAATAACCGTACAGGAAAATAGAAACTATCAATAACTAAAATAAAATATAATGTTCCCTTTACCCCATAAACAAAATGAAAATATAATAAATACAAAAACAATTTAATAAAATAATGATTTTATGTTTTTTTTTTAAAAACATAAACATGATTATTTTAAAACGTTATAATTAATCATGCAAAAAAGATAATAGTAACAATTTTTTTAGCTTATTGCAATTTGATTAACAATGCATTTACAACACATTCGATGATTACACTATGGTGGCAAATGTTACAAAATCATGTTTTAACAGCAATAACAAAAATGTTGTTTTTTTTCTAGTTAAGTGTTAGTCAGTTTTCATAAGGTTGCAAATTAAGCCTAAATATAAATTATTACTGTATTTGTAACCTGTCTTTATGCTCAATTCAAACTTATGTTAGAAAACCACTAAGTCAAACTGGCTACTCATTTTGTATTTTAGAAGAAAAACAGGAAAACAACTTCTTTAAAAAAATGGGTGAGAAGAGGAATAAAACAATGGTTAATTTTCCTTCTCATTTCTACTCCAGTGAGCAATAGAGAGCAGCTTATACTGTATCAGCTCTGTGCACAACACATTCAATGCTGAATTTAACAAGCGTCCAAAGAGTTCCATCAGACACGCGTGGCTTAATCCGCTTCCATAGTATTTTTGGCCAAAAAAAAGGATGCGTCACATGCGCAAGCCATGGTCATTACTAAGCGGTGAAACAGGCATTAAATGTACACGCTTCATTTGTACAGAGCTACATGCCCTAACAGGAAATAAATGTGTCAGCCTCTCTTGCTCTGAGTCGACACATCATTAGATTTTGTAAACTCTCATTTCAAATGCAAAAGCGGTCGGGGCTAAAGTGACCTGAAAGTTACTGACATTGCCAGGAGCTGAAAATCCTAAAACAGCAGAGTTTAAATGTTTGTGTGTGTGTCTGTGTGTGTGTGAGATAGAATTGAAGGATCTATTAGTAAATGCTGATGAAGCACATTTGTATATGCAAATTAAATGTCCGGAAAAACTGCTGAAAAAGTTATTTGTGAAGATTAATAAATCAACTGGCTGATAAACGCTTTGAAAGGTGTCAACATAATACTGCAAGAATTAATCCAAAGTTAGTTCATACATGCATATCTATTCATTCAGATTTATCTAGATAAAAATCCAGGGGGCAGATTCACAAAACCTTTCAAACAACATTTTTAAAGGTCCTGTGAAGCATTTTGTAATGTGCAAATTTTAATTAATGTTTGACAATAGTATCTGGATGCAGCCTTTATGATGCAGGCTGAGATTGCATCACTCAGCGATGCAATGTCAGACCCAATGCACTCAATGGAGTGAGTGACGTCACTGTGACAGGTAGGGGTGGAGTTAGGCGAGCACATTAAAAAGCATTGGATGCAGCTCAGATTGCACTGCACCGAGTCTGCAGCCAGACCCCTCTCATGTTTGACGTGATCTTAAAGGTAACATGAAGAGAGGGCGAGACATTCTGTATAATAGCCCATTCCTTAAAAAAAAAAACAGCCATTAGTGTTTTGTTTTTATCATAGCTTTGCCAGTCAGGGTGATTAAGCTCAAGCGCATCAAATGAAAAGAGTCTTGAAGGGGGGCGGGATATGTCAAATACTAGAGAAAAATTCAATATTTTCATTTTAATACTAAAAATCATTGATCCATGTGGAAGTGTCTAACTTATAGATATCCTTAAAACTAACATATTGATACTAACATCTAAAAAACTTATTATAAATTCACAGGACCTTTGAGTGATAGTTTATTTGTATTTCAAAATTGTTTATATTAAAGACAGGGTCTTTAATAATAACTATTTACAATACATGTGACTGTGTGAATGCTTATTATTACAGTAATCTGCAGGTAATGCAGAGTGAAAAGACCACTTTTATAGTGTTTTCCATCAGAGCTGACTAGTAAGACTTCAGCTATAGCTATTATTTATTTAATCCAACAACACTAAAGACACTTGCTTGAGCACACTTACCTGAAAACTTCCTTCTCAGTTGTCTCCTCTTCCTCAAAATTGTCATCTTTTCAAATAAAAAAAATAAAAATTAAAATTCGTACATCTCTCAACTATTGTCTTGCGTTGCATTATATGCTTTTTTTTTAGCAGCATTGGTCATAAAATAATTTTTAATGGGTCATCACAACATTTCAAACTGTGATTTGAAGCAAAACAATTACATGAAAATATGACTAAAAAGATTATAAGTAATAGAATGTGAATGAGGGGGAAAGTTACAGTTTCCCTGCAAAAGATTCAATGAAATAAAAAATAGAGATATAAAACATATTTTTATATATTAAAATAAATTTGTTAGTTGTTCTAAAATAGTCTGTTTCGATTTTGTTTACTACTCATAAAAATATATTTAAATGTTTGAGAGTGTAGAGCGAATGACACAAATCCACCATTTGCAGTCATTCACGAGAGTGGGAAGAGCTTAATGGTGGACATTTTGGACATCACCATTGATAACATATTTTCAAATAAATTCCACTGTTAAAAACATTTAATTAATATAGATTTAGGTTTAACAAATACATACTATATACAATGGATAGCCCACGACAGGCCAATCTTTAAAGGCAAATATTGTAGGAAATCACTTTCAAAATATTTTTACTTCCAGAACTTGATTGATGCATTCTCTAACTACAGAAATTAGATACTTATAGTGTTAATGTATCATGTTACAAAGGCACTGTTTAGAAGATACATAGTAACCACTGATATATTTTATGTTGTAGGGCTGTAATAAAGACCCATTGCTTCTCATTACAAGCTGGGTAAGTTATCTTTTAGCTGTTTTGGTAACAACTTAACTCTCTAATCAAACTATTTTGTAAAGTTTCAAATAATTTTATTTACAAAAGAAACACAACTAAAATGTACTTGCTTAACTACATTGTTAACGGATTTAATGTAAAAAAGTGTATTTCGAATAGATAATAGTTCCTTTATTTGCCTAAAATGCTTTGAATTTAACAATGAATCGATTTTAAAACCTGATATATTAAAACGTCTTCAGTTGTATTGATTGCCCCCCCCCCCCATATGCCCTCTGTAGTAACATTGAGTAACATTTAACAAACAAATAACACGTTAACAAAAATAATACACACGTCTGAAACGAGCTGTCTAAATCAGCTGTACTAATGTAGCAGCCCTCTCTTAACATATGTTGTGTTATGTTAGGTGTGTGCAAATGTATCAATGCCATATGCTGCCACTAAGGGGGTGATTTGAAAGTAAATGTTATGAAACGCGTGCAGCTGAATAAATAACGGTCTCTGCTGTCAACATAGGGTCAGGTCACAAATGCTTTTAATTTGGTAGATGCTGGTCAAGTGATTATTGATCTCACCACGAGGGCGTTTTATTCTCGTTGCTGAATCAATTCACACAAGTTTTCAAAGTTTAATCATCAATGTGTTTATTTCTCACCTCCATAAAGCCAGTCCGTCTCCTCATCAGCGCTCTCATCAGCTGTTTTCTCTACCTCTTTCGTAGACATGATCACCTCCGGGAATTTGAACTTTGTTTTTAGACCAGAGGCTAAGTTTAACTCAGTGATTCAGCGAGTTCGACAAGTTAAGTTTATGTGGTGTGGTGAAAGTTTTAGGGTTTACCGTCACAGCTGTCACAGTGACACGCCGCGTGCTGCTCTAGCAGGTGCGCGTTACCAGAGAGACACATCGCACTGCACGTGCACGTGTGCTCTGCGGGGCGCGCAGGAAGTTCCAACATCAACACAAATTAAAGGCTACAAAATTATATTCCAATAAAAAGCCCCTTCTGTGAAAGCTACATTGAAACTTCCCCCCTCTTTTGGTCTTGCCAATTTATCCTGCCGAGAATTTCTGGAAGCCTTAAAGGAATTAATAAATGCTTGTTTGTTTGTTTATTTATTCAATTATTTGTCTATATCTTTAATTTTAGATCTTGACTTTTATTTTTATTTTTTTTACAATAGATAATATTTCGTTTCATTCTCTCAAGGAGCATAAGCTGAGCACAGAGTGTGGACAGAGCTCTTTATTTATTTATTTATTTATTTATTCATTCATTCATTCATTCATTCATTCATTCGTTTGTTTATTTATTTATTTATTTATTTATTTATTTATTTATTTATTCATTTATTTATTAACGTTTACATTTTAAAATACATGTATTTGTTTATTTATTTAGATTTGAATGAACATTTATTCACCCATATTATGTTTACTCAACACATATTTTGTTTAAATTTAAAACATTTTTTTAAATTAATTTTAGGTCACTGATAAATCTCAATTATTTCTATGTTTGCAACATTTCGAAAATGAACATATCTGAATTCAGGTAGGCATAAAAAGTCAGTTATGTTAAATCAAATAGCCTACTTAGATGAAGAATTATATTATTGGGATATTAATAAAACGGAATATAAAATTTTTATTCATAAATAAATAAATAAATTAATTAATTAATATATATATATATATATATATATATATATATATATATATATATATATATATATATATATATATATATATATATATATATATATATTCATATATAAAATATATACACATCTGTCTGTTTTGTTTTTAATTATATAAAAACTATATATTTTGTATGTTCTAAAATAACGTAGATATATTTAAAAATATATAGATATATAATCATAGAGTAATCGATTTTTAAAAATTGCTACGTATGCAATAAGTATACCTACATGTTTAATATACAACATTGTAAGTCTCAAAAATGAAAACAAATAAACAGCTGATACAATGACGCAATATTATCGCGACGCCTCTGCGCCACGTCACCTTCGAGAGACTCACATGGGTTTGTTTTGAGTGGTGTCTGTTTGACAGTTGCTCTGTTTTATCGCTTCTTCAGATTTAAAAACGCCGACATTAGCGGAAATATGTTGCCCGCAGATGGTCTCGTGTGTTTCCCCGGTCAGACGTGGGAGAAGGTGCTGTCAAAGGTAAAAAAGGCTGTTGTTTTCATGGATGACCGGTGCTCGGAGAGTCTCCACTGGAACGGAGGAGCTGCGCTACTATTCGAGGCTGGAGCTCGAAACATCAAGCAGTTCTCGAGCTTTGAAGCGGGTGCACAGAATGAACCCAAAGCTGTGTTTGTGGTCAGCACTGTGTTAAAAGGTAGAACCGCAGACATTATAAAGGACATCATTTCCCTCAGCCACTTCCAGTACTGTGTGGTTTTCACGACTGTTCCTCACTCCATTCACCTGCTTGCTAATAATGTGAACGCTGATCTGGAGGGGAACCCGGTGTTTGAGCAGTTCGAGGAGAAACTATGTGAATGGATGGGTGATATGAACTACACTGCTGAGGTCATGCACGCTCCCGTGGTCTTCGCCCCTTTGACAGAACACCTCCATCTTTTACCTGCTTTCTCTAATCTCTTTCCTTTATTGGACGTTGATCTTGAGTCCATCAATGAGAAGAGGCCGGAGAAGAAGAGATTTGGGAGTCTGATGGACATGGATGTGCATTCTCTGCCACCTGAGCTGCAGATTCAGATTAAAACTCTTGCATTGACCCTCAATGGCCTGTTTGAGTTCATCAGTACCCGTGAGGAGAGCTTTTCGGTGGGTCCGATGAGCCGTCTGATCGCAACCGAGCTGGCCAATCTTCCACAAGCCAAAAACAGGAGGAAGACGGCCCCTAATAAAGCATCAGTAGTGTTTGTGGACAGAACTCTTGATCTTACAGGTGCAGTCCAATCTGTCTGAATATTAAGTCATTAGTAGTTAAAGAGATAGTTCACCCATACACTCGTCATCATTTACTCATCCTTCACTTGTTCCATACATTTAAGAGTTTCTTTCTTTGGTTGAACACACAAAAATATATTTTAAAGAATGCTGAAAACTTGTAACCATTGACTTCCATCGCATGCACTTGTCCTTTTATAGAAGTCAATAGTTACAGGTTTTCAGCCTTCTTTAAAATATATTTTTGTGTGATCAACAGAAGAAAGACATTTAGAAAGTTTTGGAAACACCCAAGGAAGTGTAAATAGCGAATTAATAAAACTTTCACAAGGCACAGATAAAAAAGACAAAAGATCATGCTTATAGGCACATGTGCAGATATACATGTATGCATTCATTCATTCATTCATTCATTCATTTTCTTTTCGGCTTAGTCCTTTTATTAACCTGCGGTCGCCACAGTGGAATGAACCGGCAACTTATCCAGCATATACTTTGTGCAGCAGATGCCCTTCCTGCTGCAACCCATCACTGGGAAACATCCATACACCCTCATTCACACTCATACACTACGGTCAATTTTTGGCTTACCCAATACACCTATACCAAATGCGTGAGACGATCGTGCTACCCACTGCGCCACCGCGTCACCCCAAATATATATATATTATTACCTATTTAGTAAAATACATTTTTATGAAAGCAAAACAGTAAAATCTTTAAGCTGTTTCAAGCACTTTAATTTTTCAAAATCGAAGCACTTTTCAAACCTTGAAAACACTACACCAAAATTCAAGCATTTTTAGTGATTCCAGGCAACTGTACGAACCCTGTCTTTAGTATTTTGCAGCTACTTATATATATTTTCAGCATTAATCTACAAATTTTGTGATGATTTATTGTCAAATCGTATAGCATTATTTGTTTCAACTTCTGTGTTTTGCTAAGAAAATACTGAGAAATAATAATAAAAATAACAGGTAAAATTTTTATATATATATTTTTTTTTTATCTCAAGAACAATTAGACTCTCAAAATCCTGGAGGGATTGCACTAGAGTCAGATCTATTTTTTTCATATACATTTCAGGTCATTTCAGATTAATGGAAAGAGAACATACTATGTGAGAAAAAAATACATTTAAGTGTATTTATTTGGGTCAAAATGTTAAAATAAAATAATTGTTGACTCATACATTTGTATTAGGGTTTACAGAAAATGCCTATTAAAATGTATTTCGTTGTTAGAACGAGTCTCCATCTTACAAAGTTATATCATGGTGTTTATGCACAACTTGTTATGCTACGGCCTTTAAAATAACTATTTCCTTTTTCTCTGATTCTTCAAACTAGGAGCTGTTGGCCACCATGGGGACAATCTTGCTGAAAAAATTCTATCAGTTTTGCCACAGTTGCCTGGTCATGTGACAGATGTTCAGGTGGACATGCTGGAGCTCACACATCTGAAACCGACAACTGATACGAAGGGCATCTTGGCACCAGGCTGCTTGGCACAGAATCAGTAAGAACATTTACATGTTTACAGGATGCAAATAAGGAGTAATAAGGTTTGCTAAAGCTCACATGAAAATTATTCAGAAAAAACAAAACAAAAAAAAAGGTTAATATCATACAAAACAGCAGACAAACATGTTCACACAGTGGTACATTGTGATAAGTTTAATCAATAAAGAATTTATTTATTTATTTACACACATAAAAATATAATTTTTTTATACAATATAAACTAATTACATGTTTGTTTGTAATTCTACTAAAATTATTTACACAAATCTTGGGTTTATTTGATGTCACAAATTACAAATGTTTTGTTTAATTTTATTTTACTTTCATATTAAAAGTTATATCATGAATGTTTATAATAATAAGTATATCACTTCATGTCACATTAAAAACATATACTGTACTTAAGGTAAGAGGCAGTTAAATGGCTAATATTACTTCAAAGTTATCATTAAAATTGTTTATTTTAAAACAAGGATATCATGTCATGTCACCTGCTAATATATAATGTAAAAGTAAACAGTCTGTATTCAATAATTAAAAACTGTAAATATTACTGCGAATAAATAATTAAACCTAACTTGTTAAAAAATGTATATTACTTCATGTCACCTTTAAATATATACTGTATATAACAAGAAAAGAAGTCAGTATTTACAATTTAAAATATAAAATGTTAGTGCAAAAAAAAAATAAAATGAACAAATGATTTCACTTAGGGGCGACGCAGTGGCGCAGTAGGTAGTGCTGTCGCCTCACAGCAAGAAGGTCGCTGGTTCGAGCCTCGGCTGGGTTAGTTTGTCGTTTCTGTTTGGAGTTTGTATGTTCTCCCCGTGTTCGTATGGTTTTCATCCGCGTGCTCCAGTTTCCCCCACAGTCCCAAGACCTGTGCTATATTTAAATTGGGTAAGCTAAATTATCAGTTTAGGTGTTTCCCAGTGATGGGTTGCAGCTGGAAGGGCATCCGCTGCATAAAACATATCCTGGATAAGTAGGCAGTTCATTCCTCTGTGGTGAACCCTGATTAATAAAGAGAGTAAGCTGAATAGAAAATGAATGGAGATCACTGTGTTGCCTCAATATTACAATCAGTCAGTTAGTCAAAATTATAAATAAAGATAAAAAAATACAAATGAGAAGCAAGAGGGCAAAGAATTTTGGGTTTTCTGTTTAGTTTTGCAGATAACAATCTTTCCCAATTTTTTTTGTTTAATATTTATTAAGGACACAATAGAAAACAGCAGCTGCTTTTACATCTTCAGATTTCTTTTATCCACATTGTTAGTTTTGTCATCACTGTTGGGGAATGTTCTTACTGTATTAGGTTTAGACCAAAAACCTCAGTGCTGGTAGAGGTTCAGAAAAATCTATTTCATAATCATGTTCATTTTCAGAGTCTGTGTGTTCACAGACAGAAAGAAAAAAAACATAGAAAACCATGACACTCAGTT